GTGCAGGCAACACGGGAAGGTCCTGGGGGTGGCTGATTGTGTTGGAGCTAAGAGGGTCTGCAGCCATGACCCAGAAAGGGAGACTGAGGCCTACACGTGGCAACCACATGTTTTTCTCAATGTCAGGTGACCACCCCTTGAGCTCCAGGGAAGTTGACCAAAAGTATGTGAGACCAGCTTTATGGTGCTACCAGGATGGGTTGGGGATGGAATCAGACTGACCCAGCCTGGGAGAGGCAAGGTCTGTGCCATGAAACTCAGCGGATCAATGGTGTCCATGAGTACAACCACTTTTAAGATATATTTTTTATTTATTTGAAAGGCAGAGAGATCTTCCATTTACTAGTTCACTCCCAAAATGGCTGTAAGAGTCAGAGTCGGGTGTCTAACTAGGAATCAGGGGTTTCCTTCTGGTTTCCCATGTGAGTACAGTGGCCACGTACTTGGGCCATCCTCCACTGCTTTCCCAGGTCATTAGCAAGGAGCTGATTCAGAAGCAGAGCAGCCAGGACTCAAACTGGAGTCCATATCAGATGCCGATACAACATTATTAGCTTTACAAGCTGTACCACAGCACTGACGGGAGCACAGTCGTCTGCTGCAGTGTGCCATGGGCCCTGTCATCCTGTTTAATTCTAAAATCTTGGGAAGACATCTGCTATTCACTGATTGATGTCCTCAAATGCCCACAACAACCAGAACAGGGTCAGGTTGAAGGGAGGAGCCAGAACCCCAGCTTGAGTTTCCCAAATGGGTGGCAGGGATCTGGGGACTTGAGTCATGCTGTGCTGCCTCCCAGGGTGCTCGTTAGCAGGGAACTGGAGATGGACTTGAACCCAGTCCCTCTGGTGTGAATTACCGGCATCCCAGCAGCATTTTAACTCCTAGGCCAGACACCTGCCCTGGTCTATGTCTCTTAGCAGGTACAGATTAGAGCAGCATGCAATCTTAGGGCAGTCTTACAGAGGATGGGGAGGCCCCAGGGCTCCAAGGAGGGCAGGATCTGGGGGTCCCACTGGTGGAGCTGCTTCCTGTGGCTGTTAGCAGGCTGACCACCCCTCTGCAGACCCAGATCTTGCTGGAGCACTGGATTATAGGAGCTAGCTGAGACTGCATAAGCTCCACCTCCACCTTTGTTTGCTGTCCACTCCCAACCTCCCTCTACTAGCTCAAAATTGGGCAGCTCCAGTGCAGCAGTGGGTGGGGACAAGGAAGGGCAAGACCTTCCCCAGGGAAGTCCTAACAATCCAAGGGTGTGGGCAGCCCCTGGCAGCTGGGAAGCCACAGGGAGACTCCGTTTTGATAGTATACGCCCAGAGACCCACCAATGCCTCCTGGCGAATCTGCTGGCTGCTGATCTGTTTCAGCCACAGAAGGATCTGGGGGGACTTCAAATGAGCACAAGCCCAAACGGTGACAGCCTTAAGGAGGAAGCAACCCTGGGGAGCCTGGGCAAGGCTGTCTCCAATATTCCCATAGCTGTCCCACTGAGCTCTGCGGTGGGTGGCTGTGTGAGTTCTGGGGCAACTTCCTATCCCTAGTGCATAGACAAGCAAACCAAGATGCAGTGATGAAGTGGCTTGGACCACTTGGATTGGAATCCAGCTTTGCTACACCTTAGAGCTCACATCCTTTCCAGCACACTGACACATGGTCTAAGCCTCAGATTGAATCAAAAAGAACAGGCTGTCCAGAACAAGGGAGACACAAATCCCTCGTGTCTTGGGGTCCTCAGACCTCACATGAATGATGAGCACACAAGAATGGTTCTTGTTGACAGAACCCGGGATGAAGCTCATTTCCCTGCTTAGATTGTCCGATCCTCCTAGCAACACGAGAGGGAAGGAGGGTACAGTCGCTGCTCTAGCTCCATTCTGCACAAGAAGAGAATGGGGCTCCGAGAGGTGATGGGACCAGCCAAGGTCACTCAGCCACGTTGACACCGGACCATGGTCCTTGACACCACTACAACAGGTGCCAAGGTGCAAAGCATCCAGACACCTGCCCTGACAGAGCTGGGAAAGTTCAGCCTGGGGAGGAAGTGGTTCGTGAAGCTCTTGACCAGGGTGTGAAGGATGGTATAGGGGGCAGGGGGTGGTGATGCTCTGTGGGGCTCCAGAAGGCCCTGCCTGGCCAGCAGATAGGTGTTTGGCCAGCAGGCTTCAACTCCTTCTAGCTCCCTCACATGTCAGGCAGCTGCAGCCACTTTCAAACCATAAGTGAATGAGCACCTGCTGTATCAATGCAAGTAAATATTATATGACAGTGTTAGTGGCTTCTGCTGGTCACAGGATCTTCAACTGTAGTGAAAGACTGTATGACTCTAAGAGCTGACCATTCAGGGTCCTAGGCCTGCCACCTGCAAACATGTGACCTCTCCCAGGCCTGAGTTGCACAGCCATGCCTGCCTGGAGGCATAACCTGGGGCCAGTATCCAATGAGAAGACAGCTTCCTGGCTCCACTCCACGCATACTGGGTCAAACGCTTGAATGGCTGAATACCACTGCCTGGGCACTCGGGCCTGGGAGCAGGCACAGCAGAGACTTGGACAAAACTCTGTGCCTTGTGTACCTGAGGGTCAGGTGCTACCTGTTCTCCCAACAGGGACCAATACAAGGGGCGCAGGTGCAGCCACAGGCAGCAAGACCCACTCTTGGTCCTGCCCCTTGTGCAGTGGGTCTGTCACCTCCTCACAGTCTGAGAGGAGCTCCCAGGTTAATTAGTGGGGGCATCTGGCCACTAACAGGTGCTCAGGCCTGGCCTCTCCTCCTTCCTGGATACTCCTGCACCCTAGGCGAGGCTCTGGCAGAGCATGGGCCCCAGCATGATTTCATTTGTTTCTGAGCTCCTGTGGGGGTCAGAGTGCAGGAAGAGGGGTGAAGGCTGGGACCCGAGCCCTGTCTGGCTCTGCAGGCTGCCAGGGGCAGCTCTGAGCAGAGGACTGGTGGTCAGAGATGTGGGACAAAAATTCAGCTTGGCCATTTTCCACATATTCCCACTGTTATTCACTTGTGCCTCACTCTGCTCATCTGAAACGGGAGTCACAGGACAAGTGCACTGGTGTGGCTGGGGATCCAAGGAGCATCTTCTGTCCTCCCAGGAGCTCCAGGTCAGCCTGGTAGCCAGCAGCCGGTGCAGGTGCCCCCTTATTTGCTTGGAGTGCATGCTCAGCTGGTGGCCTGTAGCACGGTGGTGACAGCGATGTCCGGCCTCAACCAAATGTTTCACGCTCCAGGCCCAGGGCCTCCAGCCAAGACAGGGAAATAAAGGGGCTCCTTGGGCCACCGCAGACATGGCAACTTACTGCGGTAACCATGCAAAGAAGCTTCAGCCACTAGGGCAGGAAGTGGGCCCCGAGTCTGGGGGGGGGGGGTGAGGGGGGCAGAGGGAACAGAGCCCAACAGCTTTCAGTCACCCTAACCCTGAAGAGGCGACAAAGGTGTGAGTTCAGGGAGGGTGGGACAAGATGACAGCAGTAGAGGAGGACCTGGAAGTCAGGGACTTGATGGAACAGGTGGGTTTCAACAGAGCTGGGTTCAAACCCAACCTCCTGCCGGCGGCCATGGGGATCGCTAAACCTCTGTCCATCAGCCCTGCTTTAGAGGTCAGAAAGCTACCAGGCAAGATCACGGTCAAGGTGAGAGCAGGCTAGGTGGGAAAGTACTTGGTCAAGTCCAGTACTTTCTCAGCATGACCTTGAGCCACTTCTGCCCCTCAAGGTCCCAGTATGACCTTGAGCAAGCCCAGTTCCCTCCCACTGACAGAGCCTGCATGTTGTTGCTTATGAACCACAGCTGCTGCCCCCGAGCCTGGGCAGTCACCTGGAGTCCAGTCCCTCTTACATAAATCCCTGGCAGACGCTGAAAGAGCAGGGGCAGGGCTGGCTCTGCCAAGGGGCGGGTCTTCACTTGCCTCCCCCCAGCTGAAATCCCTCATGCCCACAGCCCTGACAGAGATGCCCTGGGACAGGGAGGGGTTAACAGCTTTAGGGAAAGGTCCCTTCTCATGATTCACACATGATGAGGCCCAGGCACGTGTGTCCCCCGCTGCGAGAATCTGCCCCTGAACGGGCTCCTGCCCGCAGCCTGATGGGTCACTCTCCAAGTCCCCATTAGGCAGTTGCACGGGCCGTTCAGCATGCTGTGTGACCGTGCCAAGGGGGAGCAGACTTGGCTCTACAGTTTGGCAGCCCTTGCCCCTTGGCCTTGCTTTCCTCATCTGCAACATGGGAGCACGCATGTCCAAAGCTGCTGTGAGTGAGGAAGCAAGCCTTGGCACAGGCGTTGGGGTCTCCAGAGACACGAAACAAGATGCACATGTTCTCATGTGTGTGTACGCGCACACACATGGTCAAGAGCAGGTGTGAGATTCTGGACTTGTGGAGAGAAGTGTTCAGAGGGCCAGCAGGCTGGAGACCAAGGGCAGTGTGCAGGGGTCCTGTCCTGCATGCGTGAGCTCAATCTTGGTTCTTCAGCTGGCTGGATGGGGCCTGTGCTTTGCTTGCTGAGGTCCTCCGATTTCAAGGTCAACTTCAACTAAACACACTTTCATAAATCACCCAGAATATCTGACCCGGGGTACTGTGCAGCCCAGCCAAGCTGAGATACCCCAATGGCAGCTGTGACAATCACTGTGGCTGAGGGGTCACCGTGAGCCATTGTGGTGCCTAGCGCTGTTCTCAGCACCAATGTGAATTAATCCTGTGTGTGTGGGTGCATGGAGGATGGACCCCATCTCCCAGATGAAGGCCCGCAGGTTTGGGGAGGTTACAGGGACTTTGGGGGACCACCTGGCTGGGAGGCAAAGTGCCTGGATTTCAACCCAGCCCATCCGGCTCCTGATCTTCCCCCCCCCCCCCCCCCCCCCCACTAACTGGACACTCTCCCAAACTCCAGGGCCCCAAACCCTTTCTGTCTTCACACTGGGAGTGCCCCGCCCACCACCTGACACACACTAGCAATGTCACCAGCCCCCACCAGCCCCATCAGAAAGACAGCAGTCTGGCTATACAATGGGTATTTACTGGGTGGCATTGGGCACATCCCACGGCCCTCACAGTACATATTAATAGAACAGGGGGTCACCTCCAGCCACATCCTCAATAACACATGAAATGGAGTCCATGGGAGGCCCGGTAGCATTGGTGCCCACTCCTGACAGCAGGGCACAGTGTGAAATGGGGGCACGAGGAACCAGCTATGCCAGCTCAGCAGGCAGCAGTCCTTGGGGAGGCATCAAACTGCCACAGAGCCCTGGAAAGTCATGTCTGAGTGAGCCCTCAATGCCCAGAACACAGCCAGCAGGAATCTACCCACGACCACCAACTGGCCACGTCTAGCCAAGAGGGGTGACTTCTGCCAGGGGCCTGTTGCACTCGGGACCTGGAATGGGCTTTCAGCGGGAACACATCTCCAGGAAGGACCAGGAAATCCCCAACAGCAGCCCACACCTTGGCAGCGGTCTCCAGCAGCCCCATCCCTGCCTGTGTGCAGCTGCTGCGGCTGGTTCGGATGGAAGGCACAGCAGGTATGTGTAAGGCTCGTGGCTGGGCACAGGCCCCTGGCTCAGGGGGTGCCTGGGCAGTGGTATAGCGGGCAAGGTGGGCAGCCCTGACCATACAGGGCAAGGTCAGCAGGAAAGGCTGTGTCCCACAGCCAGGCCGTACCCCACACACCTGCAGTTTCTCTGAGTGGCGAGGTCTGCCAGGGGCCCCGAGCAGGGGAGAGGCGAGCAGAGAGGGAGAGCCTCCCAGGCACCAGGGCCACTTCTTGTGGGCTTTCTAAGGCGAGGGGTGATGGGCCCTGATCTGGAACCTGAGCCTGGGCACCTGACACCAGGGTGGGAGGGGCCAGAGCATAGGGCGGAGCCAAGCTTGGTTTGGCGGGGGTGGGGGGGCAAGGGCAGGGGCTCTGTGGGGCCAGTGCAGTGGATCAGTAGTCTGGACAGATGCACGGGCAGGTAGGTAGCAACGGAGGTCTGGATGGAGCTCACTGCATGTACGCGTAGCGCCAATCCCCCAGCGGCTGGTGCGTCTCCTTGATGACCTGGGGTGATGTCCAGCGCAGGACGTAGTGGGGGCCCCCTGGCTTGTCGTTGGTTCCTGCAGAAAAGACATTCTATTGATCTCAGAAAAGAGATAGAGGGCTCAGGGTATGGGCTAAGCCTTTGCCTGCGGCTCCAGCATCCCATACAGGTGCCAGGCCAAGTCCCGACTGTTCTACTTCTGATCCAGCTCCATGTTTATGGCCTGGGAAAGCAGTGGAGGCTGGCCCAAGGCTTTGGGCTCCTGTATCCATGCAGGAGACCCAGAAGAAGCCCACCATAACCCATTAGGACTCAGTTCGGGAAGCTTCCACGTAGGTGAACAAGATGCCTCCATGTGTCAGGACCCCAAATTCCTTGGGGACAGAAGCTGCTTGTAGATTGGCCCCTTCCCCCAGTGCTCCCCAAAGTCCCCTTTGCAGTAAAGGTGGGGTGAGTTCCTTCCCTGGGCTCTGTGAGCCACTCCAGCATGGGACAAACCACGGCCGTGTCCAAGGGAACTATTTGCAGCCTGGTCAGACAGGAGCTCGGGTCACCGGGAGACCTACCACGTGCAGCTAGGGACCTGAGTGGAGCATCTGGTGGGGATGGAGAACTGCGGGCAGTCAGCGCCCGCCAGGCCCGAGTTAAGCTGTGGGACAGCCAGGTGCTGTCCCCTAAGAGCCGAGAGCTGACACGAGGGAAAAGCACCTTCCTGGAAGCCACTGAGCGGGAGCCCTGAGCTCATGTCCCCAGCTCTGCCATAGTGGGCGGGGACCTCAGTGACCCCCGAGCAGGTGGCCAGGCCTGACTCCAACCCTAGCAGCTCGCAGTCCTGTGGTCTTGAGTCTTGAGGTGTGGCCCTGCCTCAGATTCCTCCCCTGTAAAATGGGAAGGGGGTGGATAGCGCCTTCCCCCAAGAGGCAGCGTAAGCACCGAGTGAACACAGTTGGAGCTCAGCCCTCCAGTGCCCTGGAGGTGAGGGGCTCCAGGGCCTCCCACCAGGAGTCAGAAAAGAATGCCCACTCACCCGAGGCCCGGGACCCCCCGAAGGGCTGCTGGCCCACCACGGAGCCAGTAGACTTGTCGTTGATATAGAAGTTGCCGGCAGCGTGTCTCAGCATCTCCGTGGCCTCCTGAATGACTTTCCTGCGGACAGGGGAGTGTGAGAAGGAGGCCAGCCCATCTTCCTCCAGCATCCCTGTCCATCCATGTCCCTGGAGCAGGAGGGACCCCCACCCCGGCCCTTCTCAGGTTCCAATTCCAATGCTCCTCGTGCTCTCAGGGGCAGACAGGCAGTGACTGAGCCATGGAGAAGAAGAGGCAAGGCCTCAGGGCCAGCAGCAGGGGACCCAGCGTGAATCCTGCTCCCTAAAGATTCAGATTCTGGGGTCCCCAATGGGACCAAGAGTTTGGATGCCGTATGTGAGCTGGGAGGCCTGACTGCATGCCAGGCTGGAGGGAAGAGGAGGGGAATGGCATGAGTATCAGGAATCATGTCCAGGAGGAGGGACAGGGCCCCAGACTGGCAGGGATGAGACCCAGGCCAGGGCTGTGGTCGGCCACTCACTTATCCTGGGCAAACACTGCCCCCGTGAGGCCAAAGCTGGTAGTGCCATCCACCAGTCGCAGAGTCTCCTTGTACTTGTCATCTGGGTAGACATACACGGTCAGCACAGGTCCGAAGATCTCCTGCGGGGAGAGAGAGGTCCTGGGGTCAGGCTCTCCGCCTGGCCAGGATCCCGATCCCTCCCAGGCTCCTCACTCTGCCTTTCTTCTCTCCTGTTCTCAGTCCCCGCCTCAGCCCTTGTAAGAAAGGCCAGGCCCCAGTCCTCGTTCTGCCCACTCTGTTCCAACCTGGACAAAGATCCCAGAAGCTCTGGTCCTCCCTGCCAAATCCCAGGGGCTTCTGGCAACAGCTGGTGCTGTAGGCTGGCCACCCTCCTCCACCCCATCATAATCCCAGCAAGGACATCCGCGCCCTACACTGCCACCGCACACTGGTGCCTAGGCCCCTGGGACGCCCATCTGTGAAATGGGGGTCATGCCGCAAGGAGCAGACAGGGCAGTGCCCCGGGGGGTGCCACGCCCACCGCAGTCACCTCCTTCATGATGGGGTCCTGAGGGTTCTTGCTCTCCACGATGCACGGCTCTACGAAGTAGCCCACGGAGTCATCACACTTGCCCCCCGCCAGGATGGTGAGGTTGGGCGAGGAGCGCGCATGATCCAGCCACTTCTTGATACGGCCAAAGGACTAGGTGGCAGACAGGAGGGCATCAGGGCTCACCCCCGAAGCAGCTGCACCCCAGGGATCCCTGTTCTGAAGTGGGGGGGGCGGGTAGGGGCAAAACCAGTACCCAGCTGAGCCGTGGCGGAGGTAACACTCCTGGGTGTGTGTTTACATGTGGCATAGACTGTAGTGTACAGACGTTGCATGTGTGTGCCGTGTGGGTGTGCTTGTTTACACAGACGTGTGCCTCTGGTGTGTGTGTGTGTGTGTGCAGAGATTTGCATCACAGCCAGGCTGAGATGAACACATCCACAAGGCCGCACATCACACGTGTATTCTGGGCACCTGCGTCTGTGCATGTAGTACCCAAGGGCTGTGCTGCGCCCCCATCTCTGTTCTTCTCTGGTTCTAGATGATTCTGTCCTTTCCAAAGCTAGGAATGTTGCGGGGTGCACATGGCTCCTCAGCCACCTTGCTCCAGCAGTGAGCTGGGTCACCCCCAAGGCCAGACCCCTCCACCCGATCTCTCTCCTCCCAGAAACACACCCCGCTTCCTGGCCCGTACCTTGGCATCGATCACAGCCGAGAAGAAGGTCCCAAAATCCTCTGCGGGCTGCAGGCCAAGGAGGGAGACGCCAGAAGACAGACTGGCCTCAGGTCCAAGACAAAGAGAACCCCTCCCAGTGCGCCCCCGTGCCCGTCCCCCTCCCCGGCACCAGGAGGCTGGGAGAGCGGAGCTGCCCAATCCCATCAGCCACCCGCTGGGCCGCAGCGGGGTGGCCGGCGCCACTCACGTTGCCCACTTTGATCCTGCTGTGCTCCTCCAGCAGCCGCCCTTTGATCTGCGGCCAGAGCGAGGCGGGCACGTAGAGGCGCGAGCAGGCCGAGCACTTCTGGCCGGCGTACTCGAAGGCGGAGCGCAGAGTCCCGCTCACCACGCTGTCCACGTCGGCCGAGCTGTGCACGAAGTGGAAATTCTTCCCCCCGCACTCTATGGGGCGGGGTTGGGGAGGAGGAGAGTGACTGGGGTGGGGAACAGCTGGGCTCTTTGGGGACCCAGCGCCCAGCCCATCTGATCCCTGGAGGCTCCAGCGTGCCTCTGTCAGAGGCAGAGCTAGGGCTGAGCAACCCTAGCTCCGGCCCCAACCCCACTCGACACAACAGGAATCAGGCCATGAGATCGTCGGGCCCAACACCCCCATTATGCAGACAGCAAAACTGAGATTGTCCAAGGCCAAGTCAGGGGAATCCAGGGGGCCGCTCTCCTCCCCCAGGCGTGGTCACAGCTTCCCTGGGGTCTCCCCTGGTACTCCTAACCAGCAACGGGGAGGAGAGGGCCGCTCTGCCAGACACCAGTGGCAATCATTGGACCTCCGAGAGCCAACAGCAGCCGGAGCCCCCTCTGTCTGAAGCCTACTACTGCGTCCCCCCAGCTAACACGCCTCGCTCTTTATTTAAATTCTGTCCGTTTCTCATTTATTCGAAAGAGTGAGAGAGTGAGAACGAGAGAAATGAGAGAAAAACCTTCTATCTGCTGTTACACTCTCCAAATGCCCAAACCAGCAAACTCTAGCCGGGGATCCCACATGGGGGGCCGGAACCCAAGTGCTTGTACTCTCACCCACAGCCCTGTTAGGTCTGCGCTAGCAAGGAGTTGGATTGGGAAGCAGGACTTGAACCCAAGCCCTCCATCATGAGATGTGGGCGTTCCAAGCAAGGCCCATGGCAAGACAGAAAAAGAGGCACGGAGGAAGCTGTGTGCCTCACGTTGGGACACGGTGGAGAGTGCACACTGACCGCTAGGGGGCAGCGGGAAGCGGGTTTGAGGGCTCCGTGTTTCCAGAGGCCATACTGGGCACAGCCCAAGGAGGGGCCTCCTCCTGGCTCAGGAACAGGGTCTAGATGGCCCCGTGGGCCTCCCTGCGTCCCCACTGATGGGCCAGCCATGTGACCCTGGACAGCCCTGCCCCTCCTGATGGCTGGACCCTGGCCTGCTGTGTGCTGCGCAAACTTTATTCCACAGGGCCATTGCAACACAAGTGCCACTGTGCTGGGAACACGCTGCAGGGTGGAATTCACTCTGGACATCACTGTCGGGCCGGTGGGTGCTAAAGGCTCTGAGAAGTACTGCAGGAAAGGACCCCATGGTGCTTTGCCAAACTCAGCACCTGCTGCAGGGAAACAACACGGCAACCAGACCTGGCGCTGCCCCCCTCTGTCCCCCTCTGTCCATTGCTCTGCCCCCTCTGTCCATCCCTCTGCCCTCCTCTGTCCATCCCTCTGCCCCCTCTGTCCATCCCTCTGCCCCCCTCTGTCCATTCCTCTGCCCCCTCTGTCCATTTCTCTGCCCCCTCTGTCCATCCCTCTGCCCACTCTGTCCATCCCTCTGCCCTCCTCTGTCCATTCCTCTGCCCCCTCTGTCCATCCCTCTGCCCTCCTCTGTCCATTCCTCTGCCCCCTCTGTCCATCCCTCTGCCCCCTCTGTCCATTCCTCTGCCCCCTCTGTCCATCCCTCTGCCCTCCTCTGTCCATCCCTCTGCCCCTCTCTGTCCATCCCTCTGCCCTCCTCTGTCCATTCCTCTGTCCCCTCTGCCCATTCCTCTGCCCCCTCTGTCCATTCCTCTGCCCCCTCTGTCCATTCCTCTGCCCCCCTCCGTCCATCCCTCTACCCCCTCTGTCCCCAGCAGCGGAGGACGGCCCCTGTAACCATACAGGAGACCTGGAAGAAGCACCTGGCTCCTGGCTTTGGATCTACCCAGCAGGCCATTGCAGCTGCTTGGGGAATGAACCAGTGAATAGAAAACCTCTCTGTCTCTCCCTCTGTAAATGTGCCTTTCAGATAGATTACTAAAAGTTAAAACGAAACGGTAATAGTTCCAGTTTCTGCCACATATCATGGCTGCTCTTCCAGAGGATGCTACTGACGCTTCCCTCGTCGCAGAAAGTTCTAGTGAACGATCGGGGGTGGGGAGGGGCAGCCCAGGCCTGTACCACCTTCCCTTCCTCCTCTTGCATGAGGGCCAGGAGAAGGGTCACCAGGGCCCCAGAGAGGGAGGGCATGGGAAAAGGGGCTTTTTACCTCCAGCCAGGCGTGGGAAGGTGCGGTACCGGTCTATGTTCAGAGCCACCTGCTTCCACAGGCGTTTGAAGGTTCTGGAACCAGAAGACAGACGGGGGAAAGAGAGTGGGGGGGGGGGGGACAGTCAGGCTCAGGCACCCAGAGGGTCAAGGTCTCGGGGGACAGGACAACTACCAGATGGGAGAAGGGCAGCAGCCCAGCAGGGGTGGGTGGGATCCTGGGGCTGGGGAGGGGTTGCAGCATGGGGAGGCTGCGCAGCCACTCAGGGCAGACCCCCCCCCCCGCCTCCTTCTCCCTCCCCATGGCAGCAGCTGGTGCCTGCCAGGTTCTGGTGATCCTGGGCACATGAGTCCACCTCTCCGATCCCCGAGTTCAGTGCTTCATCTGGGGCGAGCAGAGAGCAGCCCCCCACCTAGCTGGGCAGAGTCCTGCTGAGTGCTATTGTGTGTGGAGTGTTCAAGGCCATGCTGGGCACACCACAGCTGTGGTCTGCAACGGGCACCCCAGGGACCCAACGCCCAACACCCAGGCCAAGCTGAGGAGGGTCCTGGGATTAGAGCTCAGGCACCCGCCCCGAGCTGCAGCCCTGGAGGTCCTCGCCTCCTCCCCAGACTCTGAGTGTGACCAACCTCAGCACCACAAAACAATAAAAATGCTAATCACCCGGCAGCCGGCACCACAGTAGCTAATACTAATTTATGACTTTCCTACCTTTAAGCCCACTGCTCATCAGAGCGTGGCAAATGGGGCCAGGCCCGCTCCGCCCGCTAATAGGCTGGGCCCCGTGGGGCCCATGGCTGCCAGAGCGGGCCTTTCAGAAATGGCCCTACTCAGCAATTCTAACGCAGTCATTGCCACCCGCAAACCTGGCGGGAAGGGGGCTGGGGGTGCCCGGGGCCTGCGGAGGGGAGAAGTCACAGCAGGTGTCCCAGTTGGAAGGACCATAGGTTGCAGAACTGGGCCCCTGGTGGCATCAGACACTGCCCTGAGATACCCCACGGTCACTGGGACCCACACGTGTCTTATCTTGAGTGCCTACCTTCTGTCCAGAGCCCAGGCATTTCCGCTGAGCCCTGCCCGGCTCCTTATCCAGTCCTGAGGACAAGCACTGGCCATGGGCCTCCCCACCTGGCTCTCACTCCACTCCACCCTCTGCCATGCACTCCCCTGTCTCTGCCCAGGTCAGGGTTATCACCTGCCCCGGACCCCCACTGCCTCCATCCTGGCACCAGCCTGGGGTCACAGGGGCTTCTTCATCATCAATCAGCAAGCAGGAGGCAGATGCAGGGCCCCAGAACACAGCGCTGAGACACACAGCACCCAGGTTGGTGGGGACCGTGGGGGACAGGACAGCTCCTGCCCATCAGGGCGCTGTAGCGCCCCAGGTCCTGGGGGAAGCGCATGTGAAGTTGCTTCCATTACCCAGCCAAGAACACAGAACTATGTACCAGGGCCACTGGAAACAGGTCTCAACAATTGAGTCTCTCCCCTTTCACCATCACCCGTGGCTCCCATCACCTTCAGGATCAAGTCTGAACTCCTGTGCAGACCCCTAAGGGACGCACAGTCACCATACCACCACTGCCCCACCCCACCCTCAAGGGCCTTGACAGACACCTGTCAGTCAGTCAGTGAATGTCAGCATTCCGCAGCTGCTGCCTTGCTCCCTCCAGCCCTGCCTTCCCCCTTGAGCCCTGCAGGCCCTGGCCCTGCACTCAGCCACAGCGGTCCTGGCCACAGCGCCGAGTGTAACCTGTGCTTCGGCCCATGCTGCTCCCTCACCCTCTCTCTCCTTGCCAACTCTGTCTCCTGGAAACCACCTCCTCTGACAAGCATCTCTGCCTCCTTGGTTCATTCCAAGTTCCCCCACACCCTTCCAGGCAGCAGAGGTGGCATCAAATTCAAGCCAGCCCAGTACCTGGAGGCTGCACTTCCAGCCCACACAGCTTCCCGCTCATCCGCGCAGTGGTTCCTCTGCTGGGCACACTATACCCACTGTTCAGAGAGACGGCTGCCTGCCTGTGGCCCCACAGTGCCAGCGTGCCCAGTCCCATCCCCCAGCAGGTGGCCTGGTGGATTTCCCCAGGGGTCCCCCTCCCCTCCACTGCCCCAGGAGCTTACGGTACACTGCCTGTGAAGTTAATGCCACACAGGTGCTCCGAGCTGGTGACAGTGTCCCCGAACATGGGCCCGTCAGCTGGCACAAACTGGATGATGTTGGGGGGCAGGCCGGCCTCACGGAGGACGCGGTAGACGGCATAGCTGGCCAGCATGGCTGTGTCACTGGGCTTCCACAGGACCACGTTGCCCTGCCCGGGGGAATGAGACAATGACCCATGATGAAGGCAAGAGCCATGAGCTCCAATCCCCTCCTCATGCCACGGCATGGTGGTCCTTCACCTGCAACCAACAGGTGCTGTGCCACCCAGGAAGTCCCGCCTCCCACAGCCCCACTCCTCCGAGAGTCTGGCCCCATGCCTCCAAAGCCCTGCCCGCCCACCTGCTCCCCAGACTCACTAAGGACTGACTGGTCCCACCATGCCCCCTCTCCTGGTTGGTTTGTTTTCAGCGTTCCTGGGCATAGCTGTTTAAGAGCTTGCCCCTGGATTCTCTGCCCATGTGCTGGGGCAGGGCTCGCGCTGGGGTGCATGCCCTGTCTGCCCATGTGGATGCACAGGCTTGCCCCCCGCCCCTGTGCATGCACACAGCACACAGCACACAGCTGGGCATCCGCGCCTGCCTGCCCCACCGGAAGCCGAGGCCTCCCAAGCAACGACTGTGTCAGCTGCTCTCCTATCCAGACTGAGCGCAGGTCTGCGTCTCCCCATCAGACCGGAACTCCTACCAGACAGCCACCTGTACTCTCATATGACACGGACACCAAAGCTCGAATCCGTATCCAGTATTTATTAGTGGCCTTGACGAATGTCATCGCCGCAGCAGCAGTTTGGTCATCACAGACGCCCATCTCGGAGCGCAGAGGAGATCGCTGGCAAACAGGCCCCAGCAGCCACAGGCTCATGGTAAGCACCCTGAGGGGTGACCACCTTCACCCCAAGCACCAGCATGCTCAGCTTGACGCCAGCCAGGCTGGTCTCTGCTGTTCCTCACACTCCATCAGGCAGACTTTCCCAGCAGCCCTGCTCTGCACGCGGGAGACTGGGCATCAAACAAGCTGGAGTCTTCATCCATGGTCCCCCAGAAGAGATGGGCAAAGCCAGGACTCTGTCCTGGAGTTGGCCACAAGACTTAGCCACAGCCCCATGCTGCTCTCAGCTCTCGTGTCATACCCCACAACTAAGGAGCTGGGCCTCGAGGGGTTCGGGGAGATCCCTGTTTGTAGGGACGAGGACGACGACCAGACCCTCACTGGGTCCCCTGAACCCCCATCTCACCATCAAAGCTGGTGCGCCCGCCAGGTTACCGCCGATCGCAGTGAAGTTGAAGGGTGAGATGGCTGCCACAAAGCCCTGGGTAAGGAAGCAGCAGTGAGGTCTGACTCCCAGGGTCCGCCAAACCCCAGCTGCCCCGCAAGGCATCCCAAGGTACCTCCATGCCCCGGTAAATCACGCTGTTGGTGCTGGGCGGCAGGCTGATGGGCTGTTCCCCTTCCAACTCCAGTGCGAACTTGGCATTGAAGCGGAAAAAGTCGGTGAGCTCGGCCACGGCGTCGATCTCTGCCTGGATCACGGTCTTCCCCTGCAGGGTGTGCGGGCCGTGGTCAGCTCCTTTCACCCATCTGGCCCCATGGCTGCGGCCAGCATCGAGCAGCGTCCTGGCAGGGACCTCAACCTCCGGAGAATTGCCCAGGCCCTCCTCTCAGGGACTAAGAAGGGAAAGGACCTTGCAATTCAAACTCGAGTCCCTGGGGTCCTGCTCTGCCAGGCTGCTGCCCCCTGGGCTGCAGCAGGATCTGCAAGTGTCTCGTTTTCACTCTGAACAGTGGGATACGGGAGCGGCTCCTTGACCGAGATCTTCAAACCAAACTCAGGGTCAGACACGAGCATGACGGGGCAGCTGGCTGCTGGGAGAGCATGGCAGAGATGAGGTGGGCAGGTTGTGGGCGCGCCCTCCTCCGGGATGGGTAGGTGCAGTGGCCTTGCTCATTTGGGCTGAGAATTGGGAGGCCAATGGCTATGCCGCCTTCTTGTCTCTCTCCCCGGCTGCCACGGCCAACAGGAACCACAGGAGAGGACCCTGGGTAACAGCTGTGCGCTGTCCCAGGTGTGGGGAGCGGGGCTCTACCTCTGACACATGGATGCACTGACAGGTGAACATCCCACAGGCCAAGGGAGCTGAGCTAACAGGTGCAGCTGCTTCATACGGGATTCCAAGTCTTATGCCAAATAACAGAAGAACCAAGGACAACCTTACGGCATGCACGTGTGTGAACGTGTGTGCTCGTCTGTCTTCCTGCTAATGTGTATGGCCCACAGGAGACAGACATCCCACCCACCCCCCATCCACGGGGCAGCTGAGAATGGCGCCTTCAACAGGATGGGAGCTGTCATTTCACCTCCGTGCAGCAGAGGGGGCTCTCACCTCAGGGATGAGGGAGCTGCAGGTGAGAAACCAGCTCAGCTGGTACCCCAAGCCCCAGTGCCTGGAGATGCCTGGAGATGGAGTGCCATCCTCCCTTCCCCAGCACATTCCCAGCTACTGTGTCTACCCAGCAGGCACAGGGAGATAAATGCACTGGGACTCTGCAACCCCCACCCCTCCTGGGGCAATCTGAGCTGAGACAAGACCATGTGCTCTGGAAACACAGGGGCCAGAGGAACCCTCAGGCAGGGGAAGGTCCAGGCAACCCCTTGGAGGAGGGAAGTCTCATGCTGGAGCAGTGATGAGGGGTTCACCAGGCAGCAGGCCCAGGGCAGAGGCCAAGGGGGGACCTGCAGCACCCAGGGTATACAACTCGGGGCTGGGATGGCCTGGCAGCGATGGACACAAAGACATGGGGCAGGGGATAGGGGCGCAAGGGCGGGGCCGAGGACCCTCCTTTCGGTGATGCTGGGATCATGCTGGGTGCTGAGCTGCTGGAAGAGGCACCCGGCCCACTCCAAATGGGTTCGACCGAGCCAGGAAGTCAGGAGATGGCATCGGGCAGCTGCCAGTCCAGGCAGAGCCTGACACAGGCCTAGGGATGGGACATGGGACACATGCCCAAGGCAAGATGAGGGCTGAGCGGCCTCCGCCTCATCTCACGTCTGTCTCCTGAAATCTTGGCCTTGTCCCTCGAGGCTATCTCTGGTCTCTGACAGGGCACAGCTGGTACCTGTGCAGAGAGGGCCCGATGCCCGAACCCGCGTCAGGGCCACATGCAGCTCACCTGCCCCACGATGGTCTTGGCCAGGATCTCCGCCCTGCGCGGTCCGCTCAGAATATCAGCCGCCTTCAGGAAGATTTGGGCCCGGTCTGACACAGGTTTCAGGTCCCACTCCTTCCGGGCGGCCAAGGAGGCCTCAATGGCCTTGTTGAGCAGGGTCTGGAGAGAGAGGACAAGTTTAGGGACATGGCAAGGAGGGCCCCCTGCTCAGGGCGACCCCTGCTTCCCTTGGCTCTCAGTGACCCTCCTCCCATAGTGCCCCCCAACCCTTCCCCTCATCAGTGCCATCCATGGTTAAGCTGTTCCGGCTATCAGTCAGATCTGCAGGGCCCTGCCAGGCTGGTCAGCAGCCCCAGGACTCAGCTGGTCCCCATCCCTCAGGTGCTCCCCTTTCTCTCATAGACTAATCAGGGCTTCTTACTGGGACCCACATTGTGGCACAGTGTCTTAGCCACTGTCCACAAACCTGGCATCCCATCTGAGCACTGGTCCAAGTCCTGGCTGTTCCACTTTGGACCCAGCTCCCTGCTAAGGTGCCTAGCAAAGCAGCAGAAGATGGTCCAGCTGCTTGGGTTCCTGCATCCATGTAGGAGTCCTGGATAGAGTTCCAGGCTGCAGGCTTGGCCTGGGGAATGAACCACGGGATGCAAAAATCTTTGTCTCTCCCTCCTACTCCATAACTCTGCCTGTTTAAATAAATAAATAAAAGTTTTAAATTTTTATTTTAAAAGGCCCCATGTTATCCTTAGGACCCAGTGGCCTGGAATCCAGCTTGAAGGCAGCCAGAGAGCCTGAGAAGTACACCTGCTGGCACGTCCCAGACGCCATCCCATTCATGGCCACGTGATGCCAGCTCTTGCCACAGGCCATCCTTTCTTCCCACCAATGCCCACACGCCAATTCCCTCCACAACATCTCCTACTGCCCTGACTCAGTCTTCCGGAATCTTCTCCATGCCTAAACCCAGTCTGCCCCAACACTGTAAGCATGCCCTGGAACATCCCAGCTCCAGCCAAGGCAGCTCTCAAATAAGTCTGCCTTGGCACACTGGCCCTGGCAGGACACTGCCCAGAGACTCCTTCCCCGCTACCCCTGTCCCATTCATTCATCTCAGCCAGGGCGAGACGTAGGGGTTGGGCAATGCAGGGACTCACTTACTTTGTCTGCATAACAGAACTTGGCCACTTTGTGTCTGTGGTTGAAGGGCTGAAAGGAAAGAAGGGTGAGATCATTGCCCTTGAGGGAGGTGCCCGAGAGCGGAAAAGAGACCATGCTTGGTGTCTGTTCTCCAGGGAAGTCCTGGGCATGTTTGCTCGCTTCCACTGCTCCCTACCCCAGCCTGCATCTGCTCCTCACTGCTGTGGGTGGGGCGAGGACACCCACCTGCCACAGCCCAGCTCACACCTGCTTGTCACTGCTGTGGGTGGGGCATATTTCCTGCTCAGGCAGGGTCAGGGTCTGGGGAAAAGTGGAACTTCATGGTCAGGCAAACAGGGCTTCGAATTCCGGCTCTGGGGCCTCATGTCAGCTCACTTAGCTCACTTCCCTTCTCTGGGTCTCAGCAGGGCAGGAGCGGGGAGGGGAGAGGAGCAGGAAGTTGGGGTGTGTCCTTCCCATCTCACAGCATGACTGGCACCTGGTCACACAGACTTGGGATGCCCGCAGACTCCCGGCCATGCTCTGTCAGCTGCAGGGTCAGGCCAGCAGCAGGGACTCCAGGATACCATTCCAGGAACCCCTGGAGCATAAGGCCTGAATGCTCCCCGCTGCACACACCTGTCCAGGGCTTCATCAGGACAGAGCCAAAATGTACTGACCCCGTTTGCAGAAGGGCCAGCCTTTCCTATCCCCCAAATCACATGCTCCGAGCTTCCTGGTGCCTCTAGGCCAAGCTCACACAGGTTAAGGGTGGACAGACCCGGCGCAGGAGGGCCCAGGGCTCTGCTTCCTGCCCTTAGCCGTGAGGTGTGAAAACCCTCAGGACTAAGTGGAGGAGGCTGCGCGGCCTCCATACAGCAATCCTGCCTGTGGACGGGACCCAGCTAGGGGGTGGGCACTTAGCTGGGAGAATTTTACCGGTCCCCAGTCTTCACCACCTCCTAGTCCCTAGAAGACTAAGAGCACATAGGATGTGAGCCAGGAGTTGCTCGACACACAGACCCTGGAATCAGGGAGAGGCGAGCGCGCCCCCATGCCGGACTCACCGACAGCTGGTACTGCACATCCGACGTCCACACTTCCTCATCGCCCACCACACATGGGATGGCTTCAGTCTGGCTCTTGAGGGCTGACAAGGCCTGGGGAAAGGAGCACAGCTGGGCACTTCCTGCCCCCTCCTCCTTCCCTAAGACCCTGACTGGGTCTGCAAGGGAATGAGCTAGGCCTGGGGACACTAGGACACAACTCCTGCCCCGTCACCCCAAGGGAAGAAGAGGCCAGGTTGTGAAAAGGCCAACAATTGCATCTGAAGCACAAACTGATTTCTTCCCTTGCCACGGGTGGGCGGGAGGCACAAAGAGACCCCTGGCTGCCACCCTGCTGGCCCAGCATCTCCCACATTCCACCCTCCCTCGGGGTGCCTCCAGACACTGCGACAAGGCAGAGCGGGTGGGAGACGCAGGTGGAGAGAGGTGGTGGAGGTTTTAGGGGGATCACCATTCAGGCACTGCACCCCCCCTTACCTTCTGTACAGCGTCACGTTCAGGGCTCCCCCTGGTGAACGCCAGGATGGGCTCATTGGCCACCTGCAGGGGGTGCGTGTGCTTCCACTGCAGCCTGGGCACAAGGGCGGAAACAGAGGGACCATCAGTCCTGTACAGCCACCACCGCCAGGCCCTAGCCCCGCTGCTTCCCACCAGGGGGTCCTGGGTGGGCCCTGGGGTCCCTGGTCCTGCCACAGGGCACCCAACCCCACTGAGCTGACTTCTCCACCTATGAGGTGGGGATAACCCTGACATCTTCATGAGGCTGTGCAAGGTTTGCACGGGGCCATGACCTGTACAGTTTCCCCATGCTGAGCCCCAGCACCCCCACCCCTTCTCAAAGCTGCCATTCACAGCAGAGCAGTCTGCCTCCAATGTGAACCAGCCTGAGACTTCCTGGGCACAGAGCCAAGGGCTCCCAGAGGGCAATGTCCAAGATGCGGCCTGTGAACTTGCAAGCTGGCCCAGGGCTCAGACCACAGCACCAGGGAGGGCCAGGCTAGGGGCTCTGTGCTGGACACAAATCCCGGGTTGCAGGAACTGCTTGTGGGAATCCCACAACCTCAGTGGCAAGGGCCACTGCCCCCAATCCTAGGGGTGTCCGGGGGGTCGGGGGTCACCAGGGAGGGGGACCGCAGGGTCCCAGCTGAGACTCTCTGGTCAGTGCCCGGCTCTGCTATGTCCCAGCTGTGGGACTTCCCCCCACCCCTGTGAGGGTGACCATGACAACTCATCTGAGCCCACAGCAGGTGGACACTGACAAAGCTGAGTAGGCACTGGTGGGCACTGATGGGCACCACCAGCAGCCTCTCTGGAGAAATAAGAGCATTTCTATCCTAAGAGGGGCCTGGGTTTGAGTCCAGAAGGGCCCGGCCATCACCTCCCTCTGGTGGGGCTCAGGCACCAGAAAGGGCCCGGGATGGGATCCTGGATCTGCGTTGGCTGGGAGAGCCTAAGTGGGGTCTGCTCGATACCAGATACTGAAAAGTCAGAGTGCTTCACTCAGCCGGGGGGACAGAGCCGGTATCTGGCACTTGTCCAGTGCACAGAGCCCTGTGACACCACTGGGGGTGTCCTGCGAGCTTGTTTGTATCCAGCCAGAGAGCAAGGTGGCCAGGCTAGGACAGTCAGGGACAGTCAGGGACTCTCCATGCAATCCGGGGCGCCTTGAGGAAAGACAGGGCAGTCAGGTCCTTCATTCACTCTGCAAGTCTGACCGGGGGGTCTCCTGCAGGAGATGCCACTCTAGATCCCAGGGACACGCCAGTGACGGGGACAAGGCCTTGGGGTGCACACAGCCAACCCCCAGCTCACAACACAGGACACAATAAAGACAGGGAGCTGGCATGGGGCATGCCACCCGGAGTACCTGCAGCCCACGTGGGAGTGCCCAGGCTCGAGTTTCCGGCTTTGCTCCCAGTTCCAGTTTCCTTCTAATGTGGATGTTGGGAGGCAGCGATGGACCCCTACCACCCACACTGGACACCCAGTGGAGTTCCTGGCTCCTGGCTGTTGCTGGTGTTAGGGGTCGCGAAGGGCAGCAAGTGCCGAGCCCCGGGGTACCCCAGGACTGGGATCCAGTTTGCTTGTGGAAGCTTCCTGGTGGAGTTCACATCCGATCGAGCCAGGCCAGAAAGCAAAAGGTAAGCTGGCTGTGTGCTCTCCGCGCCCTCATAGGCTGTATGGCATCGCCCCCATCCAGCAGATGAGAAACCCTAGGCTCACCTAGGCAAGTGTCACGTGCTCAGGGCATGGGGCAGGTGTGGCTCGGGTCCTGGATCTGCCTGCTGATGCCATCTACAAGGCTCTGGGCTCCAGAGGGAGAACGGGGCAGCCTCAGGCTCTCAGAGTCCCACCTCCAGCCTTCACAGGCCAAGGCAGCCTCAGGCTTGCTGTTCGTGTGGGTGTGTGTGCTGCTGGGACACGCAGCAGACAGCAGCTCAGCTCAAGTCCTGGCAGAACCTTCCAGATGGCCCACAGGCGGTGGACTCAGCCCTGGCCCCTCCCGGGAGGCTGTTGAGACAAGTGGCGGCCTCTCCAACATCCGGGACGACAGACAGAAGGCACTGCAGGTGCTGCAAGTTACCCAGCATGCACACAGCTTCCTGTGCCATCTTCCCAGTAACCCCTATCAGCTCTGTGGGAAGGCAGCCCCCTTTTACACAGGAGCAAGTCCTGGAGCACCTCTTCAGTTAGAGGAAGGGTGGGGCCGAGGTACGCGTTCTGGTTCCTTTGGGTGGAGTGAGGATCAGGGGGTGCGTGAGTGGCAGGAGAAGGCCCTATGTGTTGGCAGTTTGGTTCCTGGAGCCCTTGGGTGACCTGACCCATGTCCTGGCTTTCCCCACTGCTGGAACACACTCAGCCCTGACCCCTCCCCTGAAGCCAACAAGACAGAGGTGACCAGCAATGTGCTCACGAAATTCGCGCCAGTCAGCCGGTCCACCAATCAGATGTAACCCGGTATTTCACCTGAGAATCCCACCCCCAATCTCCCAGCCACTCCCCCAACCCCGCCCACTGGCCAGTCATCCTAAGGCAGTCAGTCGCCTGACAGTCTCAGGCACCAATCCCCTGGGGTCTGCCCTCAATCCCTCTCAATCTTGTGGGCTCACCTGACATAAGACAGCCCCCAGTTGCGGCTCTGCCTTCTCTTTTCCTTCCGCCCTTACCCCTTCTCTCTCTCTCTTTCTCATCTCCCACCACTTCCACCTCCCACGACCTCCACCCCATTCCTGCCCGCTAGAATTAACCTCCCAAAGTACCTTCTTGTGTCTGGTGTTTTTGGCTCAGGCTGCGGGAATTAGCTGCACATAATAATGTAAGAACTCTAAGAACTTAAAGTGTGATGAATAACTAACAGCAACCTTCCCCTGTGTCCTCTCAGAAACCCCACAGGATTTCTTCACGTGCAAGCTATGGCCCAGGGATCAGGGGCCCCCATCGGGCTGGCCAAGTGCAGCTTGGACTCAGGGATCTGTGAGCGGTCATCCTGAGCCCACTGTAGCCAGAAATGACCTTGCTCGGGCGTGGGCCATGCTGAGTGTGAGAGCACCGGAGCTTCATTCCTCATTTGTCCCCTGACTCAGTTACTCTGCGTGGTGACAATACAAAGACAGCCCATCAGATTAGTGCCACCTATTGCCCATGTCACTTGGAGGCAGAGATGATCCTAACCAGACCTCACCTTTCATAGGGTGGCTGGATCTGACTCAGTTTCCCTAACCATCTAGGATTCCCCTTCCATTCACAGTCTGGGCCCCTGCTGCCCGTCCACACCCTTTGTGGGGTGTGGGGACCATAGGCTAGACTGTGACCTCTTTTAAGCGGAGATGTCAGGACTGTGGGGACGTGTGGCCAGTTCACGCAACTTTAGAAACCTGCAGAGGGTGACATGACGGCCGCTGCCTCCAAGCCATGCTGTGTATCACAGCCAGGGCTCTACAGCACGCGCTGCTCGAGAACAGGGCTGTGTCTGAGCAATTTCATCACTCTAGAACACACTCCCACGAACCTGGTGTGCCCGAGACAAGGGAAACGAGACGCTACAGTGGAACACAGCTTGCTGTTTGACAGTGAGCGCTTCTTTTTCATAAGTAGCAGGAGACACTCTAAGGCAACTGTGAGCGGCACAGGGCAGTGAACAACCGAGTCACACAGCTGTTTATGACCAAGCATCAGGCCTGGTGTGTAAGTGCACCTGCTAGGCGCAAGCACTGCCATAAGCAGGTGAGGATGAAAAACAATGAAAGACCTCAGAATCCCAATTAACTCCATCTTCGCCTAGGTGACCTCTAAGGCGAAGTCTCCCCGAAGACGTAAGACTATGTAGATGAGGGATTGATAGTTACAGTCTGACTGGACAGACACAGGAGAGTTAGCTAACCAATCGGGAGGTCTCCTTGAGATAAGACTTCATGTACATTTGGGATTTGATAGTTACAATTCTGACTGGCTGAGACATAGTTAACCAATCATAAGTGTGACCGTGGAATCCCCCTGAACTGTATAAGAATCCTGTGATTTTCTACCTCGGGGCTCTGTTGACCAAGGACCTCTGCATCAGTGGCAGTTGGAGGCCCAAACTCGAGTTTGAATAAACCACCCTTGTGTGCTTGCACTTTAGTTCGACTCCTGCTGGTTCGTTTGGGGAAGACCCCAGACTGAGAGACCGGCTGCCAAGCTGTGCATGGAGCTGTGACACTTTAGCGGTGGCTGACACTAACCCAGGAGAAACGGGATGCGTCCCAGCTGCATGGCTGGTGGTCCTCACTGCGGCTGCTTGCTGCTTCTGCGACAAACCACCACTGAGCCATAGCACAGGTGGTAGTGGGCCGCAGCAGGTGCCCTTGGGTGGCCATGGTGGCTAGCAGTGAGTGGTGGCTGCCGCTCCCTGCCACAGCAGGCCCAGGCACAATAAGGAATGTGAGCGGGAAGCCACACCACAGCTGCACAGTTAGGCGACTTCGGCTCCATAACAACCCTAGGGTGGCACCCTCGTCAATGCAATCCCTTGGTACCCAGAATGCAGCACAACTACTCCATGGCTTCTCACAGGACACCACATCCCTTCATCCTCACCAGCCCTGTCTGTCTGGATTCCCACACTGGAAGCCTTGGTGATAATTCTCACTAAACGACCTTCTGCGAGGCGCAAGCTCCACAGAGCAGCCCACGTCACCAAGCCCAACCTAATCCCGCCCACAGCAGGCACACTGGAATACAATCCAGGGACACATGGTCCGGGCTCAGCTGCTAACTGCCGGGGCTGGACACAGGTCTCTCCGGTCTTCAGGTGGCTAGGACTGCAGCGGCCAACGTCAAGGCCAGGAGAAATGGAAGCCTTGCTGCAGCTTCTCTCACAGCCTTATCTGGAGCCTGATAATACCAATCCCCTTTATCAGCAAGATAAGGGCAGCCCCGATCCCCAGTGGGGCCAGCAGGGGAACTGCACTTTAATAGCCCAGAAGATAGCAAGGAGCACTTAGGAAGCATTTACTGTGTGCCAAGGACTATGCTAAGTGAGATATGGGGATTATCTCAACAAATCCACGCCCTGCCCCATCCACCGGGGCAAGTGCTGCTGTGATGCAAGGAACTGGGATTCAGAGGACGGTACCTGGGGTGACAGCATGAGAGTGACACAGCAGAGTCGGAATCTGAACCCGGATTGGCCTCACTTGGGAGATGCACTGTGGTCTCAAGATCCCAGGCAAAGGGACCAGCTGCCTAGAGCCAGAGCCTTCTCCCCGACCAGACAGAAAACCCACCCCAGGTGGGCAGCAGCTTGCCAGGGTCCTTGCTCCTATGGGGGTGAGCAGTCAACCTCTACAGCATGTCTGGAGCTGGGGTGGCTGGCTAAAGCAAAGGAAGGGGCGAGGACAGCTGAGCTCCATGCCTCTGTCCTTGACATTGCTGACCAGAAGAAATGACCACTAGAGGACAGTCCAGCAATGAGGGAGGGATGACACTGACCAAGTTCTTCAGGGACCATGTGCTTTCCAAAACCATGTCAGGGAAATCCCAAGATGCTGTTGCCAGGAGGTGGCCACTATTAGCATCTGTGTTTTCCACAAAGCAACAGGAGGCAGGCAGGCAGATGGTGTCATCTGTCCCGGGCTACCAGGCAGAGACCCAAGCACGGGTCTGTGCTCTGGGCCCATGCAGCCCAGTGCTGGCAGGGGTGGCAGGCCTGGCAGTTGCCTGGTTGCAGCCCCAAGCAACGTCAGAGAGCAAGAGCATGGGTCCTGTTGATTCCTCAAATATTTGCAGAGCACACACTCTGTGAACTAGGCGCCCAGCAAGCCCCTGGACACCTCATTCTTGATCCTGGCAATCGTTGTGCCCTGCCTATAATGTCATTCTCCCCCACTATGCAGAAGAGGGCTCTGCAGGGCCAAAGGAGAGCAAGCCAAGGCCAACGTGCCCGGGGTGGGAAGGAGGTGGCCAGCGGAGGGCATCCCAAGCTAGTGTCATGTCCTTGGCCACTTCTGGGAGGAGAGAGAGGAAGGGAGATGCCAGCCCCTGGGCTCAGGCAAAGGAAAGCACGAGGTGGTTTTGAGATTCTGAACATTAAATGGGCAGGTGGGTTGAGAGGTCAGGATAGCCACCAGCCACAGGGCAGCGGCCAGTCCCAGCCCATGTGTCATCTCTGGCTTTGGCCCTACATCAGATAAGCAAAAGAACTTGGTATTGACTTGTAAACCTACTAAGTGCTTGGCTTGGTTCTTTTACTTCCTGCCCACTTTGAAAAAGAATCTGAAGGTGTTCCACAGGGACACTGATGAAACATGAATAGAGAGGAGGCCGCCAAGGGGAGGTCTCCCCTCCTCCCATTGGCCTCAGATGTTCTATCTGTGAACTGAGGGCAGAAACAGCTGCTAGGTAGCTGACCAGTGACACCAGGGCCACCACCAGCCCATCGCTCACGGCCACTTATTGGTGATAACTGCTTGCAGCCTGCATCTATGGGAGTTCCAATCCTGCCTCTCCTACCCGCTCCTGCACACGCTGGGAGGCAGCAGGCGATGGCCTAATGCTGGGGTGTGTGTCGTGGGTGTGGGGGACACAAAGGTGTGAAGAAACTGTTCCACTGCAGGCAAGGCTGCAAGGAATGTCCTGCTGCATGGCAGGGCCCAGGGAAGTCTCTACTCCACCTTCCTTTGCCAGGACACAGGACCACACCCCCTGTGTTAGCATAGAATTCTGTAATCTATTCAGGCATTGTCTGTTGTTTTTTTATTATCAATGTGAGTGTGGAGGTTAATGTTGCTAATAATGTCTTGCAAAAGGGCCTTTTATTATTCCTGCTGTCCTGTTGCAGCTGTCCCCACCTTACGCTAATCAAGGGATCTATGTTTAGGGTATCATTGTCTCCTTGGTCTTTAGGTTCTCCCTTAACCGATTCAAGATTGAGTTGTGGAATAAGGATTGTAGTAGGAATGTGTTACTGATTGATACACACCCTCTGTTGAGAAGTCTAGAGAGCTTTTAGATGAAACAAATGGTGGAATTATTGTTGGAAACACCCACTTGGCCATGAGGTCAAGTCTGTGCCAGAGCTTGTGCTGCTTCTGCATAAGTAAAGGGGACCGGCTTTCTCGCATGGTCCATGACGATCCTGAAATTGTAGTGGTCCATTTCTTTCCTCTTTGCACCTACTCCACGCACCCTTTGAGTTCGGAACTCGGCTGGGGCTGGACTCTGGCAGCCCAAGAAGCTCAGTGCTCCCCACCCACCGGGAGACCCGGAAGAATTTTCTGGCTCAGGCCTGGTTGCTGTGCGCATTTGGAGAAGAAACCAGCAGACAGAAAACCCTGTCCTTTCAAATGCATGGAAAGGATACATACAGCAATGTGGGATGCTCAGGCTATACGCCGTGAAGCCCATTCTCACGCTGGTGTCCTGCCGGACAGCACCCACAGAAAGCCCGAATGCCACGCCACCGTTGCTATCTCTGTGTGATGAGACCACAAGCCTCCTTGGCACTTCTTGGCCCGGGATACAAATTAATCCAATTACAAAGGAAACACTCAAAAATAACACCAAAGAATATGGCCCACTTCAGCTCTTTACACGTTTTTCAGGACAAGAAAATCGTTTCCCCAACAACACAGTTGCCCACACCGCTAACCACCTGCTAACTAAATGAATCACTGGGAGCCAGCGCCTGTAGTGCATACAGATTTGGGTCCTAGGGGCTGTTCCACTTCTGATCTGGCTCCTTGCTGATACCCCTGGGAAAGCTATGGAGAATGGCCCAAGTGCTTGGGTCCCTGCACCCTTGTGGGAGACCCAGAAGAAGCTCCTGGCTTCAGTCTGGCCCACCCCAGCCTGCTGCTCAGGCGAACTGGGAGAGTGGATCAGCAGAGAGGAGCTTTTCTCTCCTTCAAGAAAATAAAAATTCTACAGGCCGGTCCCACCACAAGGGATTAGGTGGCCCCAAACGTTGAGGTTGAGAAACTTCTGGGCATCAAGCCAGCTAGCTGCTCCAGAGGAGAGGCTAACCCAGGCCTGTGGGGTTGGTTGCAAGTCTTGTGTGTTTAACAAAGCACACACAGGTATCCAGTCAAGGCAAGAACCTACTCAAACCCCACCCTCCGAGCTTGCATGTGAGGTCTGGGCAGGACAGTGCGGAGGTGGGGGTCTCAGAGGGCAGCAACACGCCTGCCCACCTGCTCGCCCGCCCGCCTGCCTGCCTGCCCGCAGGCGGGAAGCCGTACCAGGTGCGGCCTCTGCACAGTTTGGAAGAAGAACCCTTGGGCCCCCACCATTCTCCCATCCTCCCATACCCACTCTTCCTGCCACAGAGGGCACACAACAGAAGTGAAATTCGGCCCTGGGCCACAGAGGGGCACTGACTAACTCTGAGGGCGCTCACTGCAGGGCACACAGCTGGCCACACCCCCCAGGGGCCAGACAACAGCTGGGGTCGGGGCACAGGTTGAACTCCTCTGCAGCATCAGGCAGGGTCTGACCAGGCACTGCTCCCACCTGGGGGGCTTTCATCCCAGGTGGGGCAGACACAGTCCAATAACCCAACGCCATCCAGGATTGTGAACCCGAGTTTAAAGTACAGCTCGACCTAGAACTGTTCCTGGCATCTCCGTTTTCTGGAGTAACGTCTAACACACAGGACCAGTGTCTTAAATGGACAAATGTCCACCGTGATGCACTTCCGGCAGGGCAGGGCACTTCAGAAAGTTCGGGAGGTGGTGGGGGGGTCATGAAAAGATCAGTTTACTTTGGGGCAAAAAAAAAAAAAAAACCCACACATGTTGAAATGCAAGCATACTCAGTCTTCAGCAACTCCACGGAAAGCATGGTATTTTGCTAAACACTAAATTGTCACTAACTTTTTTGCACCCCAGTTCTTCTGCTGTAAATCTCTTTCTCGGGAGCTTTGGGAAGGCCGCTTTAAGTAACTTGTTCAACCGCAGAGGCGTGCACCACGTGTCTAGCGCAGCTGGGCACTTCCAGGCGCTCCTTAAAATCCATGGTCCACCTACCAGCAGAGGCCCTTTTTCCAGACCAGCATTTAACTTGGGAGGTGGGGGGCCAAAAGCAATGTAGTGGAGGTCCCAGCAGGAGGGCTGAGAGCATGAGAAGGGCTGGGGTGGGGTGAGGTCAGCGTGTGGTGCTAAAAACACAGGCCTAGCGGGAGGCCAGCAAACCCCGAGACCCGGGGGCCTCAGGCCGAGAAGGGAGCACGCAGGTTGGGTTCCTGGTGGGGAAGCTGCAGGGTCCTCGCACCCCACCCCAGGCATTACATACCTGGCTGCGGCCAGATAACCGCCTGAGGCTGGCGCGGGAGGGGCCTGAGGGGGAAAAGGCCGGGGGCACACGCCGCGAAGGGGTGTCCTAGGAGCGGAGAGAAGTCCCTGGGGGACCCCGTGGGCAGCAGGTGCCCAGCGACCCCGGGGGCCCGAGGGCAGCAAGCGACCCCGGGGGCCCGAGGGCAGCAGGTGCCCAGCGACCCCGGGGATCCCGTGCGCAGCGGGTGCCCAGCGACCCCGGGGGTCCCGTGCGCAGCGGGTGCCCAGTGACCCCGCGGGCCCCGTGGGCAGCAGGTGCCCAGCGACCCCGGGGGCCTGTGCGCAGCAGGCGACCCCGGGGGCCCCGTGCGCAGCGGGTGCTCAGCGACCCCGGGGGTCCCGTGCGCAGCGGGTGCCCAGCGACCCCGGGGGTCCCGTGCGCAGCAGGCGACCCCGGGGGTCCCGTGCGCAGCGGGTGCCCAGCGACCCCGGGGGCCCCGTGGGCAGCAGGTGCGGCGCTCGGGCCCGCCAGCCCCGGGCTCACTCACCCGGCCCCCCTCCAGGGACGGGCGAGCAGGACGCGGCGCAGCGCGAGCGGCGGCAGGAGCAACGACATCTCGGACTCTTGGCGCGACTTGCACTGAACCGTCCGCCCAGGGCTCGACCTGACGGCGCAGCCCTGCCTGGAATGCACCACCTCGGCGGGGACGGAGAGACTCGGAGCAGCCGCCCATTCTCCGACAGCGAGAACCTGCTCTCCGTAGTGACCTCCTGTGAATACGAATCGGCGTATGTTGGCATTTTAGAAGCCATTCTGCGACGCCGAACAAGGGAACGTGAAAGGAAAGTATTGAAATATGTACATCTCTCCCTCCTCTGTATATGGTACGACCCAGAGGGGGGCGGATAGGGGCGTGGGAACCACCGGCCAATCAAAGTAGCGCATGAAAACCCATGGACCAATCGGCGAAGTCGTCTCTTGCTGCGGCCTTCTTGGGCGTGGGGGCAGAGAGGGGGTTTCGAGAGCCAATGAGAGGGCGGGAACGGGACACGTGCTGCTGCGGGCGGAAGGCCGTGGAGAAGCCGGGTGTGCAGTCATGGCAGGTGCATCTCCCCGCTGTCAGTCTCCTGATCCCGCAGGGCCACACCGCGGACAGCCCTTTGCCCCCGGGACGACCCTGCAGCTTGCTGCCGGCTTCATGGGGCCAGCCAGATTTCCGGGGACCTTACAGATCACTAGCGATTCTAAACGAAGGCTGAGCCAGGCCAGGCTTAGCGCTTCCTTCAAACTAGGAGCGCTCTGCGCCACCCCTTCCCTGCTGCCTGCGAAAAGTTCGGGTTTTCTCGTAACCACTCAAAGATTTCTGAATGTTGCATCTTAAATCTTCCCCCATGACAGGTCGTGGGGACCGACCCCTTGCTAAAGCGCTGCGGCTGACTTTCTCACCGTCTAGTTTGTTGTTATTTTCTCCGGAACCTGGACATTTGCTTAGTTCTGGCTCTGGGTCCTGGCAGATGTAAGGCTCTGGTTCGTGTTTAGAACCAGAAATCCACACAGGATAGATTTCTGCTTAAAACAAACTTTATTGGGAGCCCTCCTGGGTGAGGTTCACCGGTCCAGTACAGACAGTGGGCCAGAGAAATGAGGAGTTATTTTTATTAGGGGGCTGTAGGGGGTTGTGGGACAAAGGAATGTGGCTTCTGGAGTGTTACAGGATCTCTTCGAATCTGTACGTCACTGCAGGCCCAGGAGCAGGCTGCCTTCTGGGGTGGCCTTATCAGTCACCCTTCTCAGCTTCCTCCTAGGCCGCCCCTCACACACCCCAGCTGGGCCTTACAGTAGGATATGATGCAAGTTATAGACTGCCCCTGCCCCGCCTCAGTTTCCTATTCTGTAAACAGGGAATAAACACACTCCGTCCCCAGAATTCTCCCATCCCCTCAGCGCTGCTTTCCCCCCAGATGGCACATTTTGGGGAGTTTCAGTGCAAGAAGTTGGGAGCAGGGAAAGACAACTATATAAGGAGATGGTCAGAGCAAGGTGGAGTCCGTGAAGACCCTGGTCAGGTGGGCTCAGTCACGTGGCAGCCACAGTGCCCCGAGTGTGGCCATGGACAGCAAGAAGCCCAAGCCCAGAGTCCAGGGTGGCGGCTGCTTGCTGGGCACTGTCGGGGAGGCTTGAGAAATGGGGCCTCGGAGGTCAACAGGCCCCACCTCCAAACCTGGCCTCATCAGGCCATGCCTTTGTCCAGCCGTCTTCTGTGTGGAACCTGTGAGATGCAAATGTGACGAGGGATGTGAAGTTTCCCGATGTAAACATTTTGCATTTTCATTTTGATTTTTAAAAAGATGTATTGATTTAAAAATCTGGACCAGCTGAAGGCAGGAGCCAGGAACTCCATCTGGGTGGCCACCATCTGCTGCCTGTAGGTGTGTTAGCAGGGTGCTGGGAGAAGTACAGCAGCCAGGACTCACGCAGGATGCAGGAGTTCCAGACAGCAGCTTAACCCACTGCACTGCAAGGCCTGCTTCCAGTGTTGTTTCGTTTAAAAGGCAGACAGAAAGATTTTCCACCTGGTGGCTCATTCTCCAGCTGGGGTTTTGAATGTCCCCATGGCACCACTGCTCATTTCTGGTGAACTCAGCTCTAAGTGTCCTTGCCCCTCCCTCCTTCAACCCCTGTGGAAGGACACTGTGACTCTAGAAGGTCAGCAAGCACAGGATTACAACTGATAGGATAATATTTGTATGAAAACAACTGGATGGATGCCTTTTGTGCAACTGGTTGGGTACCATTTGTAGAACAAGTGAATGGACACCTTTTGTATAACTGAGTGGATGTCATTTGTACGAGAACAGCTGAGTGGACAGCATGTGAGTGAGGACATTGGTGGGACATACAAAACAAAAGGAGTTCCAACCGGAAGTATAGAAACAGTTGATGGGTTCTGTTGATGAGCTCAATACCTCCTCCCTTATCCCATATGACCCTCAGTGTATAAAGTCTGATGCCACTCATAAACTTTGCCTTTTGACCATCAGAGTCCATGTGTGTTTTTATCGGCTCCGTGCACCAAGTCCATCGCTGCAGGACAGCGACAGACCCCCTCAATTAAAAACAAGGACTGTCAATTCGAAGACATTTCACTTTATTTAAAAGAAGCCAATATACAGGATATAAAGGCATGATATTTACAACAGTACAGTAAACGGGGGTTGGGTAGGGTCAGTAGTTTTTCCCGGGAATAGAAACCACCCCCCCCCCCCGCAATGTTAGAGCCAGCGGCAGGTAGGCGGGCAGGTGGACGCTCAGCAGCAGGGACTGGGGTGGGGTCCACACCAGGCAGATGTTAAAGTGCCCACAAGGGAGTCTCGCCAGGGGTGCAGGGTGGGCTGAGGGGTGCCTCTCTGCGGACTTGGGAGGGGGAATGCTGAGGCATTTGCACTGGACCCAGACCCGGCTCACCCAGCCTCTGATGCAAAGTCTCCACTTACAGACAATCTGGTTTAACCCGGGCCACCCCCAGACACCACTCCTCGCTCCCCAGTCCAAGGGCACCCGTCACTACCAGAGGACAAGCACAGGGCTGAGGGAAGGCCTTAGACCCTTGCCCAGCCTTGGCCTGCCTGGCTGAGCCATGGGCATCTTGCTTCTCCCCTCCCCACCCCACTCCACTACTAACTGGTAACCTGGGACTGAGTGCCCAAGGAGACCCCCCAGCCCCTCTACCCCTCACATCAGCCACACTCCACTCCTCACAGCCCATCAGAATCCATCCTTTGGAGTGTAGCCTGATCCAACCTAGCTCCCCTCTGCCTCACACCCCCTAAGACACCCAAGGTGCTGTGAAGTCAGGGAAGAGGAGATGGGCTGAGGTGGGGCTGGAGCTGAAGGAGCAGGGGGAGAGCCACTGCCAGCCCCCCACCCCTTCTGCAATGGTGGCGCCGTGTACAGTATCTTGTCCACAGGAAAGCGCTGGACAACACAACTGCCTACCCTGGATTAGAAAACCCTTCCTTTCATAAAAATAGATGAGAATCTCTTGCTTTATAAATAGATTACATGGAGTTTAACTTACTCCTTAGACTGCCCCGCCCAGTACCTTCTCCTCCCATCCCAAAGCAAAGTGGCATGACCCCCTCCCCCAGCCAACTGTGTGCCACCCACGGAGACCTCATGGGGAAGCTCGCCGAGACGCTTTGTAGAAGACTGAGTGTGTGAGTGTGAGTGTGTGTGTGTTTCACAACCAACCAGAGAGCTAAAGGGATGCTTCTCTCCCTGCCCCTCTGGAATCCTCGGCTTCTCTAAGGCCACCCCAAAACAGGCAAGTGATAGCGGACAGCACGGGGGGTGCCCACGGGAGCATAGTCCTGAAATACCAGCATCAATATGACACTGGGCTTAGAAAGAGAACACCAAAATCAAGTATTTACAGCTTTACAAAGGACGGGATTTGTCCGTCCCCACAGGGCCTGGCATGGCCCCTACCAATGCCGGGCTCTTTCTTGGCAAGGTGTGGGCTAGTGGCTAAGGGGCAAGAAGGGTCCACTGGCAAGGTGGGGAGGGAGGTGGCCAGGCTGAGACCCGAGAGCCAGCCCAGGATGCAGGCGATGACCACACCCTTGTCCTTCCCACCCCCAGCCCCTACACCTGCTCCCAAACCTCGTTCCCAAGGGGCGTGCAGATGTGGACAGCCTGTGAGAAGGAACTCTCGGGCCAGTGTCTCTCAGGCTCCTGGATGGACTCAGATCATGAGACCACCAAAGACGAATGACCTGGGCACACCAGTGAGAGAGGGAAGGGGCTATCACCAGCTCCCACACTGCACAGGTGGCCCTGTCGCCTGCCTCTTCACCAAGAACATGCCCTCACCCTCTGGCTACCTGAGCCTTGAACACTTGCCCAGCTCCAAGCTCCACTGTCCCCTCGGAGGAGACCCACGGGGACGGCCCTGTCTCCTACCCTCATTTAAACGGAAAAGCTTTGCAGCAGCTGAGGTCCGGGCCTGACTGGCTCTGACAACCTTTGGCTCAAATAAAAATAAAAACAAGAAGAACAAGAACACAGCATTCACCCCACGCGTGGGAACCCTGTGCAGCCTTAAGCACAAGGGGCGGTGAGAAGGAGGGGGACAGGAAGGTCCCCCTCTTCCAAACCCAGGGTTCCTCCACGTACCTGCCCAAAGAGACAGCTTGGCTGCCGACAGGGGGTCCTGTGGCCAGACTGACCCAGGCTCCCAGGGACAGGGGGTGCTCCCCCCGCCAACAAAACCAAAGGGCAAAAACTCATAATCCATCCATCAATTTCTGACAATCATACCCCGCCCAGCACATTCTCACTCCCTATACACAGTACATTGCATTCAACGGGTTACAGGCGGCATACACATGGGAGAGGAGAGCTAGAGAGGAAAGACAGGGAGGGGGACCCGTTCCAGACCAGGCAATGGGGAGTCAAGTTCCGGTCTTAGCTCCTCTTCACATCTAGCTCCTCTCACCTCCAGAGGGCGCTCCTGAGCCAAAGGGAACAAAAATTGGCCATCACACCCACTGCGGTGGGCACACAAAAAAGTTTAGGGCAGACAAAAGGAAAGTCTGCTGGGCTAGTCCCCAGCAGTGATTTGAGGAAGAAGGGGGGTGGGGACAGTTCTCAACACAGCTCCCCTCAGCTCAGGACCACTCCAATCCTGGGAAGACCCTGGCTCAGGCGAGCTCCCCACTGGAGGATGAAGGGCCATGCCAGGAGGTTGGAGACGGTCCTGACTCCAGCCACTGCTCGGCCAGGGGCCCTCGCTGCCTCCCACTGCCTCATAGCTGCCACCACTGTGGCAGGCACTGACCCAAACTCGGTTGTAGGAGGGAGCAGGTGCCAGGCCTGACCCCTTGCTACTTTTCTCACAGAGAAAAAAAAAAAAAAAAGCTGCAGAATCCCCAAAAGTTGGCTGGGGATTGAGGGAAGAACATCAAGTTCATGGCAATAAAAGACCCCCTTTCCCTACCCCACCCCACCCTGCCCCGCCCCTAACCCACAGAGGTCCCCAAACAAACGGTTGGCTGAGCGGGCCTGGGTCTTGCAGGGACCCAGCCCTCTCTTCCAACCTTGACCCTAGCCCCCTCCCCGGCCAGAACTCGCCTGGTCACCTTCTGGGTTCTGCAGGGACCCCAGGGATGCCAGGAGTGGGCCAGCCTTCCACAGTGAGATAAGGCAAGCTGCTCGTTGTGTTTTTGTGTTTTTGCATAGTAGTTTGAACACAGTGAGGCCCCACCTCCCACACTGCGCCTTGTCTCTCAGCTTCGCCACTGAACGTTAAGAATTCGTCTTCCCTCCCTTCCTGCCACATTTCTTGCTGTCCAAGAGTGAGCAAATCTAGAGCTCCCCACCAGGGCCTGGAAGGTTGGAGGTGGACGGGGTGGGTTGTGGGGAGATGGTTATACAGCAGGCAGGACACAGCTCAGGCTGATGGGAGGAGCAGGTGGGAGGGGGAGGGAACAGCTGAGCCCGTGACACCGTGGCCGGGCCCCCTCTCCCCTGCAAGCTTTGTATAAAAACCCCTGCTAGGAATAATTCTTTGGAGCTCAAAGTGGCTCAGCTTAAGGGAGAAGGCACAGTTAACACTGCATCTGGACAGAAGTCTGCGTTCATCGCGTGGAGAACGATAGAAATTGACAGCACCATTCCTTGGGTGGGTGGATGGAGCAGGGCTCCAATAGTGGTGGTGGTGGTGGTGGTGGGGTGGTGTGGAAGGAAGCAGCGGTCCCTCGGGGCCTCCGAGAAGGGAGGGCACGGGAAGTATGCATGGTGAGGGCATTGTCCCCACTCCAAGGAGGGAGGGGGTAGGGCCCAATCACCAGGACCCCCAGGCCCTCAGGTCCTCGGTCATCAGCTGACCATGGGCTCCACGTCCGCCTCCCGGTCCAAGTCCTCCTGGATCTCGTCGGTACTTCCTGAGTCACTGCTGGCTACCGAGCTGGGGGACGGGGAATTCCTGGGGAGCACAGGAAAACAGGGAATGGTCACAAGAGCAGCCTGGGACCCCGCAGATTCAGAGCCTTCACAACCGCATCCTGGACACAAGGCTCTGGAGGCCAACGTGGCGCCCAGCTCCCGCAGCCTCAGACTCAGGCCTGCTGTAGAAGCAGGGACCAGAGATCAGGCCAAGCTCTCACCCTCCGATGGTCTGGCACAGGTCTGGGTACAAGCAGGTGCTCAGAAAAGGACTCAGCGCACACTAGGTTGACAGTCTGGCTGCACCACGGGTGGGTGGGGAGGCCATGGCAGGCAGTTAGGGCACCACAGTGCCTGCTCCTGCAGCCAGCAGCAGAGATGATACCAGAGGGTTCCTGGAGCTTGTATAAGGCAGATCAGGCAGAGCCAAGCTGCTTATCAAGCTGCCCCCGCCTCTTGCACAGAATCTCAGTAAGAAAAGGTCCCAATGGCCAATGGACACTTGGCACAATGGCCAGCCTTCTTCACGCAGGAGCTCATTTGGATAGGGTTCTATCTGGCCCTCGTAAGGCTCAGCGTACACAGGCAGGACTCTGTCTTGGTGTGTTGTACTCAGTACACACCAGGCTCCCCATGACAGACACATCCAGCCCTGGGTCAGGAAGAAAAAGGAAGACAATGGCTTCCTTGGACACAGGGGCCTCCCCAGCCAGGGTGGAGGAGTGTCTCACCCATCTCCTCCGTTCCCCAGGTCAGAAGAAAACGGGAAGTAAGTGCTACATGGTAGGCATCGAATGTGTATCTATCCAATCAGTGGAGGGCACACTGGTTGCTGTGGGAGCTACATGAAGCTAGATATGCAAGTCATCTAGGACTCAATAGGTGTGCCACTCGATGGATGGATGGAGGGAGGGATGGATGAATGGATGGAGGGAGGGATGGATGGGTGGAAGGATGGGTGGGTGGGTAGATGGATGGATGGATGGACGGATGGATGGCTGGAAGGATGTGTGGGTAGGTAGATGGGTTGGTGGATGGCTGGGTGGGTGTGTGGATGGATGGATGTTGGCTAGGTAGATGGATTGGTAGATGGGTGGGTGGATGAGTGGATGGAGGGAGACTGATGGAAGATGGGTTAGGAAGATGAAACTCTTGCAGCCCCCCAGATTCTCTGCAAGGACTCCACCGTCAGACCCCAAGGGAGACGGAGTACCTGTCTGCAGAGCCCTTGATGAGCCGGCGGCAGGTCTCCATCTGCACGTCCAGGCCCCGCTTCATGCTGCACATCTCCATGTATTCGTGCAGGTGCCGGTTCATGTCACTCTTGGCCGTGGCCAGCTCCAGCTGGGAGGAACCGACAGAGAGTAAGGGTGAGGGCAGGCCAACTTCACTCTTCCTCAACAGAGGCCCCTCCAGAGGCCACTGCTGAACACGAGCCCCTCAGCACCCTGCCTCCTGGACATCAACCTCCCTGGGCCTCTGCTCCTCACCTGCCACCAGGGAAGTGGTTGCTTGGAAACCCCAGCAGCAGGTGCTTAGATAAGCCCGACCCCATCCCGAGAATTGGACCATGCCGCTCAGCGTCTCCAGGCTCCTTCACCCAGATATGATTAGGAATAGCCCCAGGTCCTTGGCACATCTCTGCCCCTTTTCTGATGAGGTGGCACTTCCTCCAGGGAAGGCACTGGGCTTTCTTCTCCAGCCTGAACTCAGCAATGACTGTTAGCAAGTGCAGGGCCCCTGATGCCCAAGGGAGCTGGCTAGCAGGCTGGTTCCTTCCTGGCTGAAGCCTTTGGTAAGTTGCTGGGACCTCTTCAAACCTCCCCTCCACCTCTGGACTGCCCAAGGGGAAGGTAAAGATAAGCAAAAAAGGGCCTTGACGTGCCTGCCATCACTGCGTGTGGCTCAGATGGCCCAAGGTAGGCAGGCAAAGGAGCCGCCATTTTCAGTGTCGTTTAGGAAACCTAGGCTCCACACAGGATGGGGCTTGCCCAGTGCCAGGCAGGGGGTTGGCAAGGCCGCCTGTCTCCCAGTCCTGGGCCAGCCCGCCCTGCTCACCCCTGCACACACCCAGGGGACCCCGGATCGCAGGGGGTTCCCCGCGGGCCTCAGGGCCAGCCCGCCCTGCTCAGCCCTGCACACACCCAGGGACCCTGGATCGCAGGGGGTTCTCCGCGGGCCTCACCTCGATCTGGCCTATAGTTTCTTGGTACTCCTTATCTCTCGTTTTGAAGAAGGATTCCGTCTCGTGAATCAGGTTGCCCAAGTTTTCCTCTTGCTGTATAAACAAGAGGACAATGCAGACTCCGCCAGGGTGGGGCCGGGGCTGAGGGGGTCCCCTGAAGCCCCCCACCTTTTAGAAGCCCCAGGGCTCACCTCCCCCTGCAGGTCGATGGAGGGATTGCAGTTGGTGAAGTCCTCCCACAGCAGCAGTGTGTCTTCATTCTCCTCCCACGTCAGGCTGTCGCAGTCATCATCAAAATCAAAGGTCTCCCGCCTGTGGGTGACACGGAGGGCGTCACTGACCCCAGGCTGGGGGCTCACACCGAGGACAGGAGGGGGTGACCACGGGGGGACGTGGGCCTTATCCAAAGACCTCAGCGGGTTAAGCTACTGCTTGTAACCGTGGCAATCCCAGGGCTCGCTGATAATGCACCCGTGCTTGGGCCCCTGCAGCCACGTGGGAGACCTGGATGATGCTGTGGGTTTCGGCCTGGCCCCGTCCTGGCTACTGTAACCAAAGGAGAGTGAAGCAGCAGATGGAGGACGCTTCTCTCTCTTTCTGTAACTCCACCTTTCAAATGAATAAAGCTTTTTAAAATGTAGATTTTCTTTATAAATCTTTTCACATGTGCTTTTTAAAAAAGATTTATTTATTTTTATTGGAAAGGCAGAAATACAGAGAGGAGGAGAGACAGAGAGGAAGATCTTCCATCTGCTGATTCACTCCCCAAGTGGCCACAACGGCCCGTGCTGAGCTGATCTGAAGCCAGGAGCCAGGAGCTTCTTCCTGGTCTCCCACATGGGTGCAGGGTCCCAAGGTCTTGGGCCATCTTCCACTGCTTTCCCAGGCCCCAAGCAGGGAGCTGGATGGGAAGCGGGGCCACCCATATGAGATCCTGGCACGTGCAAGGCGAGGACTTTAGCTGCTAGGCTATCACACTGGGTCCCTTCACATATGCTTTTAAAGACACCAGGTTTTGACTACTGGAGACTAAAGCTCCCAACTCCAGTGTTGTGATTTCCTTTATTCATTGCACAGCTGGCTCAAGCTCCTGCTTGGAGCGACAACAGTTCATGTTCTTGTGTCTGTAACACGGAATAGCTGGCATTACAACCCCCACATTACAGAAGTGGAAGCAGCTCAGCTGGAGTTATGCATGTGTCCACAGCTGTGCAGCTGGCTGATAGCACACAGTGGGACTGACAGCCTCTCCCCCATCAAGCACCATCCGTGCTGGATCTGGGCTGGCCCTGAGGCACATGTTAAACTGCAGCTAACTCCGCCTTCAAAACTTATCCCATGTGCTGAGCAGAATTCCTGCACCCATTGTACAGGTGAGGAAATGGAGACCCAGGGGTCCTTGTAGGTAGAGCCAAGCTGGAAACTTGGGATGAACTTGAAGCTGGCAGGACTTCAGGGCCTCCCAGGGGCTGGACATGGGAAGAGGCAGCCAACCATCTGGTCTACCTGGGTTTGCCTGGTTGGAGCATCCTTCTGTGTTCATTCCACCCAACACACCCAGTGAGGCTGCAGGAGTTAAATCAGTCAGCAGCGCAGGGGGGCGTGCGTTCACCTCCAGCCCTCTGCCTTGCCTACACTCCTTCAATTCCTCCCTGCATGCTGCCAAGCTTCAGACAACGGTCTGGGTTGTGGACAACTGGGAAGGGCCAGTGAAGCTTCTGATAAGACGCTGCCTAGAGCGCCCCCTGGAGCCAGGCCAGGCCGAGCCCCAACCCTGCGGCAGTTCCCGTGCGCGCCTGTAGGTGGCTCTGGCACTCCACAGACCAGATCTGGGGCTGGAAGAGGCTGGAGAGGGACAATGGCCACAGCCCCTAGGGGTGACCCTGCTCCTTGCATTCCATTCCAGATTCCTGACTTCACTTCCTTCCTAGTGGCCGGACAGGGAGGATGGGGAAGATAGTCATGGGAGGGTCTGGGGAGAGGAGCCCCACGTGCAGCAAAGCAGTAAATGGCTCCTCTTTGCTTTGGTCTGAAGCCCAAGCAATGGACTTGGGTCAACGCAGAGCAGTCCCCTGACACAGATGCATCATCCAAGGGCTTCATTTGTACTGGCCGGGGGTAGCCCAATGCATGGGCCTGGGCCGGAAGCTAGCAGAGCTGTCTGGGGGACAGACCAAGGTCCCATCAAGCATGGTCATGGCAGCCCAGCCTAGGGTTGTAGGATGCCAAATGCATCAAATAATCAAAGAGTGTTATTTTATAACTTAGGCAACTTTACACCCAGGTAATCAGATGCCCCCGTCCTGCCTGTCGGTACTCAGGCACCCAGGCATGTGGCACCTGTTCCTGCTGGCTTTGGTCAGAATGCTGTTTTGACACATAGGGGCCATGGCCGGTGTAGTCCCTAGATTCGGCTCTCAGCCTTGTCCCTTTGCAGCTCAGCCCAGTACTGGTCAGCTTAACCAATCAGCAGCGACTCGGTAGAGCCAGGGGTGTCAGTACCCTTGAAGAAGGTGTGAACCCAGCGAGCCTGGGGATCCCACCCCCCACACACACAATGCCACCCCTATCTCAGGCTCAGGAGGCCAACCTCCAGAAAACCTAGACACAGCCAGGGCTTATTCTTTAAAGCCCCTCTCAGCAGCAAAAGATGCGGCAGAGAGATGGCAAAAAGACAAACCAACAGTCCAGGGGTCTCCTCCTTAGCCCCCTCGAGCAGTCCCCTGCTAAAAACCCCCTCTCAGTTCTGTTTCAAGGCAGGCCCATGGCAGCACCTGGCCACAGAGTTCCCATCCTTACCCCGGGCCTGACCCCTGCCCCTGCCTCATCTTCCTCACAAGTCAGCCTGGCCTTGGAGGGCCCTGGCCAGGGACAGTGACCCTGAGGCGGCAGACGAGGGACATCTGTTCAGGCATAGGAATGGGGCCCTGGGCCAGGAGCTGGGGGCCTGGCTCCATCCCCACCCTGAGCCTTGGCTTCCTCTGAGAGTCTGGGAAGGGCAGGGTGGGGAGGCGTGGGGACGGCTCGGTCATCAGATCTGAGCAGAGACTACTGGCATCTCCACTGCAAACAGGCATGCGGCATGGAAGCAAAGGCAGAACCCAGACACCCTGTGCCAACTCTGCCCTCGCCACCACAAGGGAGAATACAGCATCGAGAAGGGCAAAACACAAAACCTCCCCAAGCCTCAGATGCACAATAGTGGGCAGGCTGGTACACCGGGACGGGAGAGAGCCTGCACTGGAGCGCTTGCTGACTTTGGGCAGTGACAGGTGTCAGGCTGCCAAGGGGCATCACAGAACCCAGAGTGGGCAGCCCTGTGCATGCTCAGTGCACAGTGCCTGCCATCACAAGCATGCCTAGCCTTAGACTCTGCCACAATCCAGGCAGCCCTTCTCAGTGACAGCACCCAGGCCTGGGTCTCAGTGTTTCAGGCAACTGGCCTCTCTGTCCAGAGGTCTCAGTGTTTCTAAGGACCAAAGTGGCAATGACAAATGCTCTACCTGGGGGAGCATCTGGGGTCAGCAAAGCGACATGTAGGAGGGGTCCTCAGTCTGGGGACTTACTGGGGGGGGGCACAGGAGCCATCTCTGAGCCCTGGGTGGAATCCATGCAGCTGGCCCAGCAAGCAGACCCGTGTGGCCTGTGGGAGGCCAGCTCCACACCAGCCCACAAGGGGCTGGCATCACGGCCTGCGGTTGAGCCACTACCTGCGATGCCACCACCACCCCATATCAGAGCACCTGCTCCACTTCCAACCCCGCTTACTGCTGATGCACCTGGGACAGCAGCAGAGTGCAGCCCAGGCGCTTAGGTCCCTGCATCTACATGGCAGCCCCCGATGGAGCTCCAGGCTCCTGACTTTGGCCTCGCCTCGTCCCGACCATTATGGCCACTGATTGGAAAGTTAACCAGGGATGGGAGATCTCTTCTTCTGCCTCTCCCTCTCTCTGTAACTCTGCCTTTCAGATAAATACAGAAATCTCTTTTTTAAAAAACAGTCCATAAATGAGGCTCTGTTTGGACCCTCCAGAGCCACCAGACAGATGCTTCTGTAGGACCAGAGAGTGGACAGCTCAGCCCTGGAATCTCCTGGGCAGGAACTGGCGCATGCTGCAGTTCAAGTCAGCACCCCCTGGCAGCTCTTACACTGGCTGGGGGCTTGCTCAAAGCCAGGAAGGGACAGGATGGACAGGACAGGAAATCATGCCACCCAGCCCCTGGCATCCCTGCCCAGGGTCCCCTAGAGCCCGAGGCTCCAAGAAGGCTGGAAACATAAAACCTCCCCCCGTTGTCCATGTTAAAAACACCCCAATTCGCTTGTGTTGGCCCAACCAGATACATCCTTGGGCTGTGCTCAACTCAGGTTGCTACTTGGCCACCCGCCCTTGGGCTACAGCCACGGGGGCACTCACAGCTGGTTACACGTGCGTCGGGCACCAGGGCAGTGGGTACTCACAGCTGGTTAAACATGCGCTTCATCTCATCCGTAATGTTCATGGAGCCGACCTCATCGTCGGAGAATCGGTTCACCTCCCCATCCTGCTCCGAGATGTCCTCGTCCGAAGCCACCTTTCGCTCTTTCTTTTTGGGGACCACCTGAACCAGAACGGAAGACAGCAAAGTAAATGGGAGGAGGGTCGTGGCTAGAATGGGCATGGTGTGTGGGAGGGGGAGGGGACGGGAAAGGGAGCCCGTGTCCTGCAGGAATGGATGGAACGTGGCCAGGCCAGCGACTACTGAGAGGTGTGTGGGTGCTCTACGAAGCAGGCAGTGTGAGCAGGAAGCACGAGGTGGGAGACATGCAGGGTGGGGGGACACGGCCAGCCTGCAGCTTTCACCTTGGGAGGCCTGATGCCTGGGCCACTCGGCTCACCCCTTCACCAGAGGGCTGGTCCCATGCAGCAAGAGCCACTGACCAGACCTAGTCACCTACTGGTCTCAGAACCAACCAGCCAGCCAGAGTGCCCCTGATAAGGGCCACCAGCCTTCTCACACATGCAAAGGCCAGGCACAGGACACCACCAGTGCCCGCTCTAAGCAGTGAGGGTGGCATCTGCTCTCCCATGCCCTGTCTCCTGGCAGGGGAGCAGTGAGCAGGCCAGGGATGAAGAAAGAGCCCCAGTCCAGCCCAATCTTGCCCAACCACGCCCAGAGTCACACACGGAAAGCCACAACATGCCATCTGGCCCTTGTGCTCAAGCCTAAGCCACATCACGACCCAGAACTCAGGAAGCAGCCTCTCCAGAATGGCCCAGCCCACAGTCCAGGCCCTCGCCGGCGCCACCTGCCCCTTCTCTCATGGGCACCCACACTTGCACGTCACTTCAGGGGATTCAGCAGACCAGGGCAAAACAACCAAAGGAGACGAGCTCCTCCATGACACCCTGAGGTCACCTCCCTGAGGACTCCCTAGAGTTGGGCCAGGGTCCCCCACCCTAGGGCCATCACCCAGGGCTGGCACACCAAGGGAAAGATAGTGGATGCAATGTGGACTGGAGCACAAGCCCTGGAGGGCAGGGAGACCTGACTTAGCCAGCTTTGCCTCCTCCTTCGGGCATATCCTGGTCTCCATCTCCTGGGCCACCAGACAGCAGAGGCAAAAGGAGCTGCAAGTCCCCCCAGCTGGGATTCTAGGCTGTTCTGGGGAGGCCAGGGAGTCGGGCGGACACTGCCTCTCGGGGAGGGACATGAGCAGGAAGTCAAGGGAAGGGGGTGGGCCAGGCAGGGAAGACGCAGGGCAGGTGGCAGCTGGTCACCTGGAAGATCTTGGACACGTCTTCCGAGTTCCGCTGCTGTGCAACATCGCACAGCTTGGCCGTGATATCGATCCGGCGGCAGATGTCCATGTCCACCTTCATGGCCTTTTCTTGGATCTTTGTGTCCAGGTCTGTCATGGGCTGCAGGGAGGACAGCAGGGGTTACATGAGCGAGGGAGCAGAGCAAGCAGGAGGGGCTGGGCACAGAGGGTCGGGCTGGGGGGAGACAGGGAGGCCCTCCGGGAAGTCCAAGGGATCTGGAGCCTTTTGTGGAGGTGCAGGATTGTGTCGACACTGTTCAGGGGAGGGAGGGGCGTGGGGCCTTGTGGTGACACTGTGGGAGCCCCGTATCAGCACACAGACCAGCACACACAGCCTGGAGGCCCCGTATCAGCACACACAGACCAACGTCTGTCACCATTTGAGCAAAGAGAAAGACACACGTCGCCCGCCTGGTTAAAACCACTGCTGTCTTTCTACCTGCAAGGCAGCTCTTTCTCCTGGGATCCCTCCTTGGTTGCTCGCGAGGGTCTCCTATGGCCCTGAGGCTTCTCCCAGTCACATCTACCACAGCCCCTGAGTACCAGCCAACACTCCAATCTGTCCCTCCCTTCCCCCCTGCTCCCCAGGGCATGTGGCTTCTTTTCCAAGAGGTTCTCCCAAAGGGACTACCCACTGCCTACTGTAACAGGAAGCCGCAATCCCCAGTAGTGAGGAGGCTTTGCTACCCAGGGCTCCTGACCCCACAATTACTCTGGGGGCTTTGGACTGTCACAGGGACATGCACGCTCCCTGGTTTTACAAAGCACTTCTGTGGCAGGCTGCTGGCCCTGAGGTGGGGGGCACCCAGGCCAGCACAGATCAGACCCCATCGCAGCCCGGCCCCTGGGAGCAAGTCAGATCCAAGTCGGAGCAAATGCATACACATCAGAGGACCTGGGCGGGCGGGATGGGTTAAGCGGGAGATTAATGCATCTCTACTCAGACCACGGGAAGCGGACGCGGGCGGGCAGGGGCAAGGAGGGGCAGGGAAGGGCGCCTGGTCTCGATGCATCCGTCATCGTTGCGGTCAAACGCAGCCAGCCAGGACTCTAACTAGAAGCCAAGCTCCTCGAGTGAATGAAGCGATTGGCATGATGGGCATGGGGGAGGGGGAGGTCGTGACTCCCGGAGCGGCAGCACTTACGTCACTCATGAGCCCCTTAAACACCACCAGCTCGGCCTTGAGCCGCTCTATCTTCTCGTTCATCTCCTCCTGGATGGCGTCGGCCTCTTGCGCTGCCTGCGGGGACAGAGATGCGGACGCTGAGAGGACGGGGACCGGGCGGCGGGATCTAGAACTCTGGGCACTAATGTCCAAACAGGCTGGCTGGGCAGCAGTGAGCCAGGGAAGAGTCATCAAGGACCTTGTCCCAGCCTAGCTTCCCGCTGAGCCCTACTGATGGGTGACTTAAACCACTTTGGAGGGGCCCGGCAGCCTGGCCTAGCGGCTAAAGTCCTTGTCCTGAACGTGCCAGGATCCCATGTGGATGCCGGTTCTAATCCCGGCAGCTCCACTTCCCATCCAGCTCCCTGCTTGGGGCCTGCGTAGGCAGTCAAGGATGGCGCAAAGCCCTGGGATCCTGCACGCGCGTGGGAGACCCGGAGGACGGTCCTAGCTCCGGCTTTGGATTGGCGCAGCACCGGCCGTTGCGCTCACTTGGGGAGTGAATCATCGGACGGAAGATCTTCCTCTCTGTCTCTCCTCCTCTCTGTATATCTGACTTGCCAATAAAAATAAAATAAATCTTAAAAAAAACACCACTTTTTGAAAGTAAATGTATGGTGTGAGGGGGAAATGGGACAAAACAGTTACAGCATAGTCAAGCCTCCACAGCTGAGGCTTCTGTACCCACAGGTCCAACCAAGCCTGGATTCAAAATACTGAAACACAGGATGAAGGCTTGGTGCAGTAATGACGGCTCTGCTTGGGACCCACTCATCCCATCTCGGTCCCTGGGCTCAGTCCTGGCTCGGCCTCAGATTAACCTCCTGCTGCAGTGTACCATGGGCAGCAGCAGGCGACGGCTCAAGTCTCTGTGTCCTTGCCAGCCATGGATTTGAGTTCCAGGCCCAGCCAGAAGATAGAAAAATCTCTCTCTGCCCTTTAAATGGAAAAATATATATGTATATTTTTCAATAAAATAAAATTTGCACCTGCACTTAATGCATACATTTTACTCTGGTCATTATTCTGTACACAATATAGTGTAACAACTGTTGATCCAATATCTATATGGTCCGATATGATCCAATATCAATATCTATATGGCATTGTTAAGAATAACTGAGACCTTATAATTGTTAAGTACTTATGTATATAGGATCTGCAGGTAATAGACAAATACTGCATAGTATCCCATAACGGACTGGGGCACTGCTGGGTTCGCTACTCTCGGGCATCCTGGAACCAGGGAAAGAGGGCATGTGAAAATATTAGGCTCCATGTTGCACTGCCCAAAATGGCTATATTGTGTATATCAATCTAATGGGTACATTCACACTATGTTGTCCTGGGTGTGTGTGTGTGTGTGTGCACGTGTGTGTGTGTGCGTGTGTGTGCGTGTGTGTGTGTGCGTGTGTGTGTGTGTGCGTGTGTGTGTGTGTGTGTGCGTGTGTGTCAACTGTGGAGGGGTTGAACCGGAGATCACTTTGTCTACTTTGTATTTCTCTGAATTTTCCAAATATTCCAGCACATAAGGTTTGTTCAGCAAAAAGGATTTTGGTTATTCTAACAAAGTACCTCCTATCATCACTCCTCATCATTTTAATCCACCTCTAACCTGCTTAGAAGATAAATGCTTTCAACACCAGCACAAAGTTTTAAAGATTTTGTTCTGGAAACAAACAAACAAACAAAGTTTTCATACTTGGTCATGGAGTTACTACTCTTGTTTCCATTTGGTTGAGAAGGAAAGAAAGACTAAGGGGCGTGGGATGTCTCCCGAGCAGGAGCCACTGCAGGTGGGTGACGGAGCACAGCCCAGAGGGCAGAGCCTCCAGACACAGCAGCAAAGGGACTGTCTTCATGTCAGCTGTGAAGTCGGCCTGAGCTGGGGACCTGCCCAAGAGACCCAGCTGCTGAGGGGATCGGGCCACCTGATCTAATCTCAGGGAAGGTGACAGAGGCCAGAGGAGGTGTCCTGGTCCCAGATCACCCTGCAAGCTGGTGGCAGCTGCAGGAGCTGACCCCAAATGTCTGAACTCCAGTGTCTGAGCTGCAGCACTGAGCCCATCAGGGCAGGTTCCCCCTCCACCCCCGCTGGTCCCTCTGACGACTCTCACCTCCTGCAAGGTGTCCACCATGGTCTGCAGGTTCATGCGCTTGGCCAGCTCTTCTTCCCACCTGCAAAAGCCAAGAAGGACAGGTGCTCAGAGGGCAACTTTCCCACACCAGTTCAGTCCTCACACACGGCCCCAGCGGCCACCCTGGGCCTGGGTGACCCCATCCCTGCTTGCCCCCAGGAGCTGCCAGCTAGGGGTGGTGGTACCAGAGGACAGCCAATGTGACATGTTGACACCAGGTGTGGCAGTGCCACCTTTGCAACACGAGCCAGGCATCTGGGGAGACAAAGGCAAGAGGGGCAGTGCCACCCCTGATACACTGACAGGCCAGGGCTGCCACGCCTGCTGGTGCTGCAAGAAGCAGTTGTGAACTGGCCCTCGGGAGCCAGGCAGCAGCCAGTTCCACCTTGAGGCTTGGCTCTGCTCCCACGAGAGACAAACACTTACTGTGCTCACTGACAACCTTGGATCCCCTCTGCAGTCTACCCCGAGCAACTCAGAAATCTACATGGGTGTTGTGCAGAAGCTAAGGCTGAATGGAGTACAAAGCCTCACCCAGAGGCCCAGGACTAGCTGACATGTTGGACTGGAATTCAAACTCCAGCCTGTTTTACTCCGTCAAAACAACCACCATCTCTTCGGAGCTCATGACGGGCCAGGCCCAGGCCCAGGTCCAGGTCCAGGGGCTTCCCATGGGTCATGCCCTGTAGGCATGAGGCAAGATCAGGAAGGAGCAAGGGGAGTGGAGGGGAATCACAGGGCACCCCGGCACTGCCCACAGGACAAGGGACTGGAGGACAGTGAGTGACAGCCCCAGCCCCTCTTTACTGTGACATCCTCTGTCCCAGGCACCTTTCTCCCCCAAATATCCAGTCCTCCCAACCAACCCCCAACTCCTCCGCACACGGCTGAGCTCGGCTGCAGCCTGCTGGGAGGTACTGAATCCCAGATGAGGAGCCAGAGTTCAAGCCCAGTGGGCAGGTTCCTGCTAAACACTGGGAGTCCCCACGCAGGGGCTTCCCGGGAGACCCAGGGGCCGCCAAGCCTGGCTCTCCTCACAGTCCCGCAGTTGCTGGGACAGGCCACATCCTAAGACAGACAGCGCAGCTTCTGTCTTCCCTTGCCCCATGTGGCCCTCCCTACATGGCTGCAGAGCAGCAAGGCCTGGAAGCCTCTTAGGATGCGGCTGGGGCCAGCTAAAAATAGGCCAGGAGGTGGTGGTGGCGGTGGGGGGGTGGATGCAGTCAGTGATGTCACCGGCTTTGGGAAATGAGAGAAAACGGATACTGTTTGCACACACAGAGGGAAGGGCCTCCCCGCCTCCACATGAGACGGCTCTAGCGGGGGCTCCCGGATACACCCACACTCCCTCTCCCAAGTCTCTTCATTCTTTGCCAGCCTCGAGGTTAGCGGCCAGGCCTGGAGCTGCTGTGGGCTCCGGGGTCCAGACAGAGACGCAAGCGGCTGGGGCTGCTGCCAGGGCTGCAAGACGCATAGGAGGCCAAAGAGAGGCAAGGAGAGAATCCCGAGGCCTGAGTCAGGCAGAACCACCCTCCTGGGTGCCCCTTACAGAGCATGGGCAAGTCATTTGTCCAGGTTCATCCCACACACCAGGGCAAGGCTCCTAGCCTCACCAGGGATATGGGGAGGGGGGTCACAAAGGCCAAGGGGGCAGAGGTTTCCAGGCCACTCCCCCTTCTGCTCTACCCTTAGGGAGCCAAGGGGCCCAGGACACAGGTCTCGTGCTGAATCATCTCCTGGCCTCGCTGGCACTGAGGAGAGTCGGGGCTCAGTGCCCAAGCCGGGTGGAGGAGGGCTGGCTGCAGCCTGGCTTCTGGGGCCAGCCTTGCTACTGTATCCAGCAGCAGACAAGGGAGCATGGGGCTCGGACACAGGCACCTGGGGCAGCTCACCGACATTCCCGCCCCTGTCGGAGCCAATGCTTCACATGGACCCACTGCACAGGTCAAGAAAATGAGGCCCAAAGAAGGAAAGTGACCGGCCCCAAAGCAACGCAGGGCGTGAACGCCAGGCCCTGTGTTTAGATCTCCAGACACGGTAACAGCAGCCACGTCTTGGCAGACGGTCTGGGTCCGTGCTTGGGGCTCAGTACCTTGTAGGGACACATCATCTGCTGGAATGTGACGTATTAACTCTCCCAGGGCAGCTGAGGTTCAGGTGAACCTCTAGTCTGAGATCACATGGCCAGCCAACAGGGGGCAGGAACACACACAACCGCACTGCAAGGCCACGAATCTCCGGGCAATCTTCACCAGTGAACCCTGATCCCCAGGGCCGGGGTTGGGGCATACAGCAGATCACTGGCAGATGGGAGGCCAGGCGTTGCACCCCCCCTTCCCGCCCATCTGCACCCACTCCTCCCCCTGACTAATGTTTCCCATGCTGCACCCCAGGGAGCAGCTTAGCACCAGTGGTTTTACTCCAAGGGCCTTTATTTCCAAAGCCCAGCAGGTGCACCGGCTGGCTCGCCCCACCCCTCCCCAGGAGTCTGAGGACAACTCCCCAAACAGCTGGCTGGTCCCTCCTGGGATGGCGGGAAAACCGGGCTCAGCAGGCACCCATGTTGAAAAGCTCTGCCCTTGAGCCACTCGGGCGGATGGGGGCGGTGAGCCAGACAGGCGAGCTGTTTCTCAAGGCGTCCCAGACACATCACATTCACTGCAATTCTGCCTAGAGCCAGCCAGCGCCCAGCTCCACCGAAACTGGTCATCCAAGCTGCTGGTCGGGAGATTTCAACACCTGCCTCGCAGACACCGTCCCGGCACCAGACCTGACCCGCCCACGCGTAAGGCTTTGGCGGGTACAGAGCGCAGGCACCTGCTCGTGGGAAGGGGCTGCTAAACGTCATTTCCTTCAAGAGTTTGCCATCCTTGCTTTTCACACCAGCCCACAGCTGGGTCAATGATTGGATTCAAGTTCAGGAGAGGTCAAACCTAACCCCTGGGCCCTCTGAGGCTGGAAGGACTACTGGGGTCACCAGTGACAGCGAGGGCAGGAAGGCAGACCAAGGCTTCTGGGGGAAAGACCACCTCTGAGGCAGGCAGTGAGGGGGTTCTGTCAGATGGGGAGGGAGGGGTCCCATCTGACCAAAGGACCCCAGACTATGACTATGGATGGCCCTGTCATTGGAGGAAGCCCTTCACCCCTCCCCACTGGAGGCAACCTTCAAACAGGACCCCAATGGCTCACATGCTCCAGGCTATGGAAAAACTCAGAGAGACCTTCACCCCCCATTTTACAGATGGGAAAGTGAAGGCCAGGAGAACACGGACAACTGGAATCAGTGCCAACATGACCTGGACTGTCTAGACTACCTGAACCAACAGTTCCTAATGCATGCAAGTTGGACCTGTAGCCCTTCCCGAGGCCCAGCTCCATGTGGCAGGTGGGGAAACAGGCTGGGCAGGCGGGAGTGCAGGCACTTACTTCCTCTTCCTCCCTCCTGGGCATCCTGCAGCTCCAGCACCCCTCCCAGCTGGTCTCAGACATCAGCCACTGTTCCCCTTCCTCTGCTATGGGATCTCAAGGCACTGGAGTCCTGTGACAGCAGTTTGAGGTCCTGGGCGCCAAGGGCCAGGGCCTGCTGCCTCCACCTCTGGCCGTGGAGCCAGACTGGGCAAGGAAGAAACCAAAGGTTCCCGCCCCCCCCAAGAGCAGCCACATCTGGCGCTAGTGCTTGAGGACCGGCCACGCCCCTGCACCCCACAGTGTTCCCTGCCTGGCATGGGGACAGCAGCGAGAGTGGAGTCAGACACGAATGAATGGATCCAAGCTGCACACACTCCTGGGGTCCCCACCCCCACAGCATCCTGAGCCTTCATTTCTCAGGCTGGGGGATGGAGGGGGGTTTCCCGAGCCAAGTTCCCAGCACAGCCTCTCTAGGGAGACGCCAGGCCAGGGGGAGGGGAGGCCAGGCAGGAAGCGGCCTGGAGAAGAAGCCGACCTTCCAATCCCCACAGCCCACAGCCCCGGGGCCAGAGGGTGGAGGCAGGGATGGCGGGACAAAGAGCGCAGGGAGTGGAAATGACTCCAGAGCGATCCAGGGTCCGGGCGCCCACTGCCAGCGTTCTAGGGGGACAAGCATTCACCCCGTGGGGGGATATCGGACAGGGTGGGGGAGGCAGCAGCTGCCGGCCCAGCCAGATGTGCACCACCCCCCTTCGCATTCCTGAGGTGCTTCCGCAGAGAGCACGTGTGGGAGGAGCCAACCCAGCTGGTCCCTGGGAGGAGGAATGGACGGCCTTGACCAGCCCCCACCCCCAGCCCCATCCCCATCCCAGCCCACACTTCGGCCAGCTCTCCTCCTCCCCGTCCTGGGCGGCCCAAGTGGACACTCAGGCTCACAAAGCCGGGCCCACAGAGGGACGGAAACCCATGCTGAAGTCATTGGTAGAGGGGCTGACTCACACACCTCTCACTTCCTGTGCTGAGTGCAGGGGGCTGTGTCGGGGCTCCACTTCCGGCTTGGGGCAAAGGCAGAACCATTAGCGCTCTGGGAGACAGCCCTGTTGGAGAGTCCTGAGACGCCTGGGCAGTACAGGGCCCATGTAGGCATGCCAATGACTCAGTCTCCCCTCTTAGGGCTAGGAAGCATATCTTATGTGAGGGGAACAGTGTAGGTGACAACACCCAGTCCTGCCCCAGGCACCCAGTGGACAATTGAGGCCGGGCAGCTCCCTGGGAACTCAAGGCCAGACACAGAACTGGGAGGAGCCACCAGAGTGGTTCCCACCTTGCCCAGGAAGGCCAGCAGCTGGCACACCCAGGTGATGGGAAACAGCTCAGGTAAGGCTGGGATGCTGTCATCAGTGGAAAACTTTATTCTGGGCCAAGTGTGGGCCCAGCCCCTGGCAGAATGCAGATGGGAGCAGCTTCTTCCTCCCGGGCAAGTCGGCAGCTCGTGCCCTTTCCACTCCACCCTGGCCCGCAGGGGGCTCCCCCACCTCAGCAGAACCAGCCGCCTGCCTGGCACGGGGCTGGAACCTGTGACTCGACCACAAGCTACCTGGCCAGGCCGGCTCTCAGTTCTGCACTGCCCAC